CCTAACCCTAACCCTAACCCTAACCCTAACCCTAACCCTAACCCTAACCCTAACCCTAACCCTAACCCTAACCCTAACCCTAACCCTAACCCTAAAGGATCCTCTTAAACAATAACAAGTCGAAAAGGTACGTAGATTTATATGTGAAACCTTACTCCAGAGTAGGTATGTATCTATTAGACTGGCCTTGACTCAGTATAGTCAGGCGGAGAGTCCATCTGAAATATCACGAGTCGGAACCAAAAGACTACCTAGGAAACAACGACGTTGTTACGCGAGGAGCTCCTAACTACTCTCGCTGTAGAGAACACGGTATATATATAAGGTGAAGCTCTTTGTCCATCCTGCTCCTAGGGCTAGCGGCCAGCAGGACCCTCACAAGGACTCTACGGGCCGAATCCCGATCCCATAGACCCCTAGCTAGGTACCAACCTGGAGGAAGACCAGATGTCTTATTTGGAATTCCGGAAGGTCCGTCTGATATGACAACCCGAATTCAACTACTTAAGCTTAAAATGAGGATAATCCTAACCCTTCTCTCCTTCCCGTACTAGCTGGATCAAGATATGGTTTTTCGCCAATGCCCGAAGCTCGTACGCCGGTCCTTATGCCTTCTACAAGATGTGTGTCGGGCTAGCACCGTCCAGGTTAGCAAAGAACCGTTGCTTGGAGAAAGGTTTTGCTTGTATATACGGAATGGTTGCTTACGGTGGCAGCGTGAAGAGTACAGAGATTACTCCAAATAGCACAAGCTCCTCTTGTCCAGTGCATCCGTGCTACGCAGTCATGATTGCGCGTGATCAGACGCATGACGTAGTCGCGGATCATATAATCTTCATAAGAGTAAACATCATTGATGCGACTAACATGTAAGCCGACACCCGCAAACAAAGACTTCCAACCTGTTACAGGGTGTGTGCGTATGACTGGGTGAGATGGGGAGAATTCGTAGTTGACGTTAAGAGGAGAGCCTCGGGGGGACGTGACTTCGTATCCTCCAGCTTTACATGCTGACTCAAAAACTGGTTGCGCACATGTGGCTGTCAAAGTTTCGAGGAACTTTTGGAATGGAGGCGACAGGCGGTCGTATAACTCGTACCCGGATACCCAGAGAGTGTCACCACCAGCGGGCGGTGTGTCCTGCATTCGTAGGAAGGAAAAGTCGGACGGACAATTCTCGAAAAGACCTAAGATACTCCTATCAGATGCAAGATTATGAAAATGGGATAGTTGTAGTCATTGACATACTATCACTGTGCCATTCTCTACCTAGATCTCGAGGTTCGCTGCCTGAGCCAGGCCGATTTTTCATCGTCGCATACAACTTCTTAGCTGCCTCTGAGTTGATTACGTAGCTAGGTCAATTAGACCCTACTCCTAATAATAGATTGAGTTTTAGTCCTACTTACATGTTCCTATCAGTAGTTCCATCTGCCATAGGAAGGTTATTAGGGTCATTATATAGGGGATGTACGTGCAACCCATGTTCCGCAGGTCTTCCGGTTAACTTTCCTAGCATGTCGGTGATATACTTCTGTTCTTCGATAGAGAGATCATCTTGAGGAGCCCTGAAGAAAACGACGCCACGCTCGCAGATCGTTATGGCAAGGTCTCTCAACTGTTTATCGGCATTGGTGGCTTGAATTATGTTCTTGAGCTTGGCTGTGGGATACTCTCGGCCTATTATGGGGCTACTATCAACATATTCGAGATGGTCAATAGACGACCCTCGTTTCAAAGGTTCCCGTATTAGCTTATTCAGAGACAAGGAGCCCATATCGCTTAATAGGCTAAATTGCGGCGTATGTCTTCTTTCTCTTCGAATATTTCTGAAGATACGAATGGACTATCGAGCGTTTGATGGGTGCGTAGGTAGGTTTGGGTAATAATAGGGGAACCATATTTCAGAGAGGATCAAGGATTATAATCTGATCAAGCTGGGAAACCCCCAACTACTCCAACGCGCATCATCATCCGTATGATGCATCTCTGCCGTCTGGGGATGCGGGGATATCTGAGCGGCTATGTCCTAATTTGGCTATCGGCAATGAAAATCTGGGGAAGTTTGAGTTAGCAAGCGGGGAGCATCTCCTCTCTTAATGGTACTCCTAACGATCGTGCATACAGTCAGATAGATTTTAGTGCCAGAGTATTGATAGATGCCTTTATCTAGGTAGCTTGATGGAATTTCCTTCTATTTTGAAGGTCGTGGATACCCCGATGTTCTCCGTTTCCCTCGTACCAACTACCTACGCAAATACCTAGGTATTTCGTTTGGTGATTACTTTATAGAAGAAAATAAATAGAGCCGCCAGAATGGTGGGCGCCGTCATCTCAGCGAATCCCTTACAATTGGATATACGAAGTCATAGGAAGTGCCTTGCGATATGCTTCGTTGTAACTGTATCTAGCTTTCAATATGGCCTTGACTATGCCCTCGTGGGTGGCTTTATGGCCATGCCTGGCTTTTTGAAGGTATTCGGGTACTACGACGAAGCGACTAGCAAATGGGCTATAGACCCCACCGTTCAACAGCTCATTTCATCACTTATGACGATTGGAACATTCGTAGGCTCATTGTCTGTAGGGCCGTTTAGCTCTAAGCTTGGGAGACGGAATGGTCTATGGGCAGCGTCTATCTTGAATTACATTGCTACGGCAATCATGATCGGGACGACAAACATCGGAGCGTTATATCTTGCACGCTTTATTCTTGGTAATATATCGTTTTATTTTGTGAACTAAGCGTGATTCTACATGGCTAATCCCTAGATAGGAATTTCGGTTGGCTGGTTTCTCACATTTGCTCAGGTGTATATCAACGAGGTAGCACCCGCTCACCTTCGGGGGATCGTGTTTGCGGTATATCAAACCCAGCTTTGTATCGGTTCCATCGTAGGAGCAGCGATAGATAATGGAACGCACGCGATGCTCGGTAAGGGGGCGTACCAAATACCGTTAGCGGTGTTTTTTATCGCTCCGACAATTCAAACGGTCTCCCTTTTCTTTTTTCCGGAAAGCCCACGATGGCTTATGACACACGGAAGGGAGGCAGCCGCCGAGTCAGCGCTTCGTCAACTACGCAACAGAAATATTCGAGAGACCGAGTTTCGTGCAGAGTTCGAGGAAATCAGGGTTTCCACAGTAGAGCAATCAAATCATCTCAAAGGGAAACATCTATGGATCGAAATGTGGAAGGGTACTAATCGGCGACGTTCCATCCTGTCCATAGCAGTCATATGCTTCCATTGCGCCAATGGTGGGTTTTCTCTATTTCCCCCCCTTCCTCGTCTCCCCTCTAGAGATGAAAAATATAGAGTTGTCCTAAGCATTAGTTAACCCCTATATTTAGGGTCTTCTTGGGTAAATTCCTACCTACGTAATTTATACACACACACTAAGTGCATACTGAACTAACCCTCTAAATAAGTTGAACATCTATACGACCTATTTCCTTACTGTTGCCGGAGTAAAGGAAGCTTTTGCACTTTCCACTATGATAACGTGCATGGGGTTAGTTGGCGTTCTCGCTAGTATTTCGATTGTTCTGTACGTTGGCCGTCGTGTTATGTTACTTATTGGAGTGGGTGCATGCGGTTTCTGTCAGCTCGCATTTGCAATAGCTTGGACTGTGGCTCCAGGGACCGAAGCTACAGCTAAGTCGGTAGTCGCATTTATCGCTCTGTTTACATTCTTTTACGTCGCCTACGGTAAGAACCTTGCAAATATTCATGATCCTCCTATATGGAAATGACCCCTACTAACATATTCAGCTCCTTATGCGTGGCTCCTAGGTGGTGAATTACCTAGCAATCATCTACGCGCCCATACCTACGGTGTTGGTACAGCACTAAACTTCCTAGGGAATTGGTTGGGCGTCTTCACTGCGCCGTACTTCATCAACCCGGCCAGTCTAGGATGGAATGCCAAGTATGGGTCAGTACCTAACATAATCCTATGGATATTACTATATTGATGATCGATAGGTACATATGGTTTGTATCCAACATGATAGTTTTCACGTTTACTTGGGCGTTCATACCTGAGACGCGAGATCGAACCTTGGAAGAAATCAACGAGATATTTGAATCCAAGGTCCCAGCAAGGAAATTTAAGGAGTACATCTGCGTGGGCACTGAAGTGTCAAAAGAGGCGGCAACGAATAAAATGGATGTTTCAATAGATCATGTGGAAGGACGACCTAAAGGGCCTGCATAGTCACTCGCACAACCTCCCTAAGATAAATGATACTTAGTATTTCTCTAAACCTTCCCACCATATGGCCAGAGGATAGTTAAGTTTTGGATCGTATAGGTAAACGTGATGCCTGTCTCCAATTGTTTAATAATGAATATTTAGATCTTTAATTCGGGCTCATTCCGCTTACATCGGTCCCGAAACGACTTCCCCGGATCCGTCTTACGAATATATAGATGGATATACGTACTCGCGCCGCATTCGCCTTGTAAATCTCTGAGAAAGGCGGGGTCCTTCCCGCCGCCCGTAACTACATCCGAAAATGCCGGCATGGTGTTAGGCATGAGCCGATCTTACGACTTACGATAATTCCTACCTCACACTACACAAACCGCGTAGGAGTTACCAATACCGGACATCCTTAACGCCGAGAAGTCCTTCAGGCTCCAGATATATGGCATTGGAATAATATCATGATAGGGTACACGTATGGCTCAGCAGCCTGCCAAGTTTAAAATCCCGATCCATTGATGTAACTAGGCGGCACGGTAGACTGACTCTTCCGGCGGCAAGTATGGCCAAAATACCAGAGTTTATCTACTACAAAAGTAAGTAGTTTACAATGATAAAAGGTCTCTACACCCTCTCCAATAGTTAGACCATAGAAATAATTTACTAGATCATCATCATCACCATCTTCTTTTTCAGCTACGTACACAATGGCAGCAAAGCAATTAATGTCTCCCCCTGACGTCCCCGTCAACCTCGTCCGGGCCAAAGCTGGTGATATCTTCATGCTGGGAACTGTTCGTATGTACATGCCAATGAACCTGCCTTAAAGCCATGCTAACAACGATAGAAATTCGTGTGATGGAAGACGGCAGCAACACTCGTATGTTCTAATCCTTAGGTATACATACCTTGGGTTAGTATTTTAACTCACATTTCCAGACGACCGACTTGGTACTGCTGAGTTCATTGTCCCTCCTAACACAGAAGGGCCACCAAAGCATTGGCATGAAATGGTATGACTCCAGGTTCTTTGGGTACAGTTCATTCTAACAACAATTCCTCTAGCATGACGAGACATTTCTAGTCCTCTCTGGAAAGATGCGGTTCTTTGTGAAGGATGGTGGCATTGTAGACTGCACCGAGGGTGACTATGTAACTGTCCCGGTCAGATCGGTCCACACTTGGGGCACTTTAGATGAAGGATGCAAATTTCTGAACACATTCACACCTGCTTATTATATCAATTACTTCAAGCTACTTAGTCAGATGGCGGAGGCAGGGAAGCCTATGGACAAGGAGATTAACGCAAAGGCTATGACATACTTCGCAACGATTGGTGTGGATTAGGACTGACTTCTAAGGTAATGCCTATATAGGTACCTATTATATATCTGTATAATAAGATGCTTGTTACATATGAGGGCCAAAGAGGCATGCACAGTTCCATCCGCTCCTCGTGCATTTTTCATGGTAGTTACATTGCTGAGTCTATAGCAGCCATCCACTAAAATTTAGCGGATGAATCGCTATTAGGTGTCCTAAAAGTCTTAGCATAGACCTAATACAGCATTTGCTGATTGATTATTTAATCGCGCACTGAGTACCTAAGAAACGTAACTAGGTGATGCGTGATACTTTTAGCCTAGACCTTACTTCATAAGTTTCATACCTAGGTACCTAGCAGGTTACCTAGATTGTACCTCTGTCTGACGTACTCACCTAGTGAATGCTTCGCAAAGATATAACACGCACCTCGGGTCTAAAATTGATAGTAAATATTACCATACACCTGGGCATCTAGATGGCATATGATGCGAAAGCAACATCTGCCAAATTTATTATTAAGATTCGTTGGTGGTTCGGGAACAGATCAGCCGTCAAAGAGCTTGGCTACCTGTTACCCCTGACATGAAAGCTACGGCGGGTGTGGTTACATTCAAGGTTTAGTGAAGGTAACCCTGGAAGCGACGGGATGTTAATTAATATATGGCTAATGCGGCCCGGGACCAGAGCATTATTTCCCTCCTCCCACTTAAAAGTTATCGCATTTCGGGGAAATCCCATCCACGTCCTCGTCAGAAAGGAGATCTTCTACTATTTGGAGAGCTGAAGGCTGAGGGGTTACCGTTAGCCAAGATGGGACAAGAGGATCAATCTATTCTAGGCATGGAAATACGGCAAGAAAATGCCATCCTCTCCTTTCTATACTTCTCCGTCAATTACCAGATCAAGTAGATCCGGGATTCTCGTAGCGCCATGATGCCTAACAGATTTAGAGTAAAAAGAGTGCTTGGATATATTGCGGGGCTAAGTGCCATTGCTGAATATGATGTGCTTACTGGGTAGCTCATATAAGACTGGAGGGATGCATCTCGACATGTCGTGGCAGGCGAAAGACCCTTGCTGCTCGGCATACTTCGAATTAAATCGCTAACGATGCGATCCTCAATCCTTACCGTGGTGTTTGCTACTGCTTCCGCGGCGGCGGAGCTTGACTGGGCAGCAGCTTACGAAAAGTCCAATGCTTCTCTGGCAAAGCTGTCTCAGAATGACAAGATCAACATTGTCACCGGAGTTGGCTGGAATAAAGGACCCTGCGTTGGAAATACGGCGGCAGCGAGTTCCATCAACTACCCCCAACTATGTCTGCAAGATGGACCACTGGGTATCCGTTTCGCCACGAACGCCAATGCTTTCGTTCCTGGTATCCATGTCGCGTCGACCTGGGATCGTGCTCTTATGAGGGAGCGTGGACAGTTCATGGCCGAAGAGACGAAAGGCGCCGGTATTCACGTTCTTCTAGGACCCGTCGCAGGTCCTCTAGGTAAAAATCCTGCGGGTGGCAGAAATTGGGAGGGCTTCGGCGCCGATCCGTACCTACAAGGCATCGCCATGGCAGAGACGATCGAGGGTATGCAGAGTGTCGGGGTCCAGGCCAATGCGAAACATTATATTCTCAACGAACAGGAACTCAACCGCGAAACTATGAGCTCGAACTTAGACGACCGTACAATGCATGAGATTTATCTTTGGCCTTTCGCTGATGCCGTACACGCAAATGTAGCGTCCGTCATGTGCTCATACAACAAGGTCAATAGCACCTGGACCTGTGAAAAGTAGGTACCTACTGTATCTAATTAACTGCCGGTCTCGCCTCAAGCCGATCTCTTTGCTAATTCGATGTACCGCAGCCCGTATGTCCTAGACACAATCCTAAAGAAAGAGCTTGGCTTCCAAGGCTACGTGATGACAGACTGGAATGCGCAGCATTCTACCGCCCCGGCCGCGACGTCGGGATTGGATATGACTATGCCCGGCTCGGATTTCAACGGCGGGTCTATTTACTGGGGCTCAAAGTTGACTCAGGCCGTGAGCAGCGGACAGGTGCCACAATCGCGTCTCGATGATATGGTCCGAAGGATCTTAGCAGCGTGGTATTTGCTCGGTCAGGATAGCGGATATCCGACGACCAATCTCAATGCCAATGTTCAGGGAACCCACAAGACCAACATTCGTGCTACTGCGAGAGATGGGATCGTCTTACTAAAGAACGAAGGAAACATTCTTCCTCTCAAGAAACCCGCGAAGCTTGGATTGGTCGGCTCGGCGGCCGTTGTGAACCCACAAGGTATGAATTCTTGTACTGATCAAGGATGTAATACCGGTGCTCTTGGCATGGGATGGGGTTCGGGCACCGCATCGTACCCCTATTTCAGCGCTCCCGCCGACGCCATCAAGACGCGAGCTCAAGCCGACGGCACCCAGATTAGCTTATCTTCTTCCGATAGCACGAGTTCTGTTGGCTCGACAGTCAGTGGCGCTGATGCAGCGATCGTATTTATTACTTCCGACAGCGGCGAAGGGTATATCACGGTGGAAAACAATGCGGGAGATCGCAATAACCTCGACCCGTGGCATAACGGGAATGATCTCGTCAAGGCGGTTGCAGCGGCGAACGATAATGTGATCGTAGTCGTGCACGCCGTCGGCCCCGTCATCCTCGAGACGGTCCTTGCTCAGCCTAATGTTAAGGCGATCGTTTGGGCCGGTCTTCCCTCTCAGGAGAATGGGAATGCCTTAGTAGATATCCTCTACGGAGATACCAGCCCTTCAGGAAAACTACCTTACACAATTGCTAAATCAGCTAACGACTATGGCACGAGTGTCGTAAGAGGCAACGACGATTTTAAGGAAGGTCTGTTCATCGACTACCGCAAGTTCGATCAAGAGGGTATCGAGCCTCGGTACGAGTTCGGATATGGAATATGTAAGCTTTCTTTTATCATCTAGGTAGTCTCCTTGATGGTAAGGGCGACATTAGCTAATCTTCTACAGCATACACCAATTTTACTTATTCGGACATCTTTGTCGACGGACGACCGACATCTGGTCCTGCGACGGGGGCCATCATCCCGGGGGGTGCTGCTGATCTCTGGGAGACTGTGCTCACGGTCACCGTAACTATCACCAACTCAGGTGAAGTCAAAGGTGCTGAAGTAGCGCAATTATATGTAGGTTTCCCTGAGTCTGCAGGGACGCCGCCGAAGCAGCTACGCGGATTCGAGAAGTTGGCATTGGAAGCTGGCGCCAAGGACAACGTAGCCTTCGAACTTAAAAGACGAGATATTAGTATTTGGGACACAGCAAAGCAAAGTTGGGTCGTCCCTGCGGGAACATTCAACATTAGCGTCGGTTCGAGCAGCCGCGATATTCGCCAGACAGGCACTCTTGAAGTGCCTTAAAATGAGGGTATATAACAAAACCCGCTGTATATAGTTCTTCCATCCCACGAACGCAGAAATTCATATAGTCATACGCCAAGTTCTCAGGCATGTGACTAAAGAGATTTTAAAAGACTCGATTAACTCAGATTTCAGATAGTCATGAGCCTTAGGATGTGAGTATACCTGATGACACGGCAGCACTGTTAAGGGGTAAAAGATTTCCAAATACCTACTAGGTAAGAGCCAAGGTCGGACAAAGTTTCTGTAGATTTAAAGTTGTATAACCTAATGTTGTAGCAAATGTAGCAATTGCCCATTGGCCCAGTGGTTAAGGCGTCTGACTGTTACTTCCTTCAAAGAGGTTAAGAGAAATCAGAAGATCCCTGGTTCGACCCCAGGATGGGCAGTTTTTGTTTCTTTTTCGTTTTTGGCCGCACTTGAAGTTTAGATAGTAGGTATGTGAAAGGGCTCATTTTGTGGTTGGTAGGGTTTTACTTTTACTAGGCAGCTAGGTAGGTTTTAAGCCTCATTATCCTCGCTTATCTCGCATATGGCAAGTGTCCGAGGTACAGTACCTACATATGTACCTAGTAATATTTTTGGGTCAGTCATCTCATGAAGTACACAGTACATTCCTATGTACTATTTACATGGAGATTAAATTTCAATAGGAGGTAGAGAATAATCCGATACCTTTATCGTGCTTTCTTTTTTGAAATCAGGTGGATAATGACGTACACTTCTCAAGATGCTATACATTCTTCGGCGCTATTAATCTAAAGTGATTACGGTAGTCGCTCTTAGGGCACCTAATTGACACCATCGCGACTAGTGCTTCTTAGCCAAACGCAACTGAACATTTCGAGGCAATGACGGAAACTATACATACGTAGTTCATGCATATTGAAAATACAGTGTGAAAACATCAAGTACCGCTAAATAATGTAGCACAAGAGAGCTCGGGTTCCTCCGTAGATCCCCCGCCATTGACGTCTTTTGGCGTCTTTGGCGTCTATGGACTCCGGACGGACTCAACAAATCTTACGCGGGATTCTACCTACAGTGGCTACCCAGTAGGCTACGGGAATTCCTGCTACCAATTCCCCTCCACGCCTCCGGACTTCGTAGACTCGCCACATGACAATCCTGATGCTTCATAGAGCACGCATCAGCTGCTCCCTTTTCTCGTCAGCTAAACAAGCTTTTCGTTCCAGTCCTCAGCAAACTCTCGGTTTTCGACAATTCTCAAGCTCTATCAGCTTTAACGCTTGGCGCACCATGTCGCAGTCAGAGATCTCGAAGTATCTCCAGCAGACGCACGACCGTGTCTTTGAACACAACCGTGCTTGGGCGGAGGAGCAGAAAAAACGGGATCCCGACTTCTTCGCCAAGCTATCCGCCGGACAGACCCCCGAATATCTATGGATCGGATGCAGCGACTCGCGCATTCCCGCTGAACAGATCACGGGCTTGGGACCAGGCGAGGCCTTCATCCATCGCAACATCGCTAACCTGGTCGTCAATACCGATCTCAATGTTATGAGTGTCATCAACTACGCGGTCCGACATCTGCAAGTCAAGCACATCGTTGTATGTGGGCATTACGGCTGCGGCGGTGTGAAGGCCGCCATGACGCCTAAGGACTTGGGGCTGCTTAACCCGTGGCTGAGGAACATCCGAGATGTGTATCGCCTACACGAAGCAGAGTTGGATGCGATCAAGGACGAGAATGAGCGTTATAACCGTCTGGTAGAGGTTAGCGTTATCGAGCAGTGCCGGAATGTCATTAAGACTGCGGCGGTACAGCAGTCCTACGCTAAAAACAAGTTCCCCATAGTCCACGGATGGGTGTTTGGATTCGAAGACGGTTTGCTCAAGGACTTGAAGGTAGACCACGAAGCCATGTTGCACAGCATTCAAAAGATTTACAACCTCACGGAATAAGAGTATGATCCTTTACCTCCCCGAAAAAAAGATGGATGAATTTTATGTATTATTTGCGTTGGTTGCGATATAGCTTAGGCCGCGTTCGGCCTCGTTCGAAAGCTTATAAAAACCTTGTCATGCCAATTGCTGCGCTTGTGTAATTATATAAGAGTCCATCGGGCCTAGCGACGATCAAAGTTAATCATCAACAAGTGGCACGACTAGATCCTGCTTATCCCCAATGTCTCCCCCTAATATCCATGGATGGGTTAATAGGTACCTTAGTACCTATACATCACGCCTGTGATGATGGTCGAATTCGTCCAGCTCGTAATGTATATGAAGTAGACCCAGTTCACAGCCTATTATACGTTAGCCAGGTCATGTATCTGCTTGACTGCTGATGCAGTTGCATTTTGGCGATGGCTGTACATCTCCGACCCGTTGCTGTACTAACTCGTAGTGACCAGCTACTACCCCTTGAAGGTAATGAAGCTGGGGTTCTACATGGTCTGGTCAGTCGTGAGACCTAAAAGTTTTATACTGCTTCTTTCCGCTTAACGAAGCGTCTGTTTACTCGATCCCGTCTTCGCTGCTGTCAGGTTCCCAAAATCCGTGTTCGAAGCTCTTCTTTTGCCGAAATGCGAAACGTTCCCAACTTACACCTCTCCTACCCTTAGTACCATCCGCCTTGGTTTCGTAACGTCGAGGTTCGAAGTCCATCACGGTGCGCCAGTTATGGATCATTCGGCGCCAGTAACATGCTTCCGCAGCCGGCGTGAGATTGCGGTCTCGGAACACTCTAGTAGACTCTTGAGCGATTTGCCGTGCCCGATCGGGGTCTGCGATGAGGCCGTCCATCTGAGCCTTCAAGTCGGACCAATCACGTCTTACCTTGACGTAATTCTATTTAGAATGGTTAGTCGGACGTTTCATTATCTAGTAGTCGTGTGAAGAGAAAGTATACCTGGTGAGGACCGCTATCCTTTAGAAGAGGTTGATAATGAAATACGTAGTCCAGCTTATGAATGATGGGAACGCTGTTACAGTTGTGCAAATATCGTAGCCGTCCACTCCAGGAATTACCCTCGGTGTGGGCGACGTATTTAAAACGGCAGAAGTCTCGCATATCCAGAATGTTGGAGCGGTTATGCCAATCTATGGCCTCGACATCGTTCCAATCGTGTCCTTTCGAGGCATCTACAAGCGCCGTTCGCAGCTTACGGTTCACGGCCAGACTCCCTCTCCAGCATAGCCTATCCTCTTTATCATCCCATCCGTGAGGATACTCCGTCTCTAGCTCTTCCACGTCCTCGCGGAACTGCGCATATGATCCGACGCCGTCGTCGGGATAGCTCCATCCGTCGAAATCGGGCATAACCCACAACCAAGGATTGTTTTCTTGGCGAGCCCAAGCCCATCTAATACGCTTTGGGTTCTTCTCGCCTCTGACTGCGCGGTCCTCGATATCGATGATGAATTCGACGTTCGGAAGCGATCGAGGGTCTGGGATGGCGGTTATTGCGCGATACATGTTGGCGAGGGCGGCGAGACCACGGGAACGGTCCGGCTCACCCTTCTTCTCTTCGATCACATATAATTCTCCATTTGAAATCATAACGTGGAATTCGCCATGCTGGAGGCCGGTATAGTCATCCTTCGTATCTACTCGTACGTCTGATTCTTTAATGCGTTTATTTTGATCTAGGAGAAAATCGCGAGCACGGTCGAGTTCTTGGAATAAATTGGGGAATGCGCTCTGTTACGGTATGAGCATCCTATACATACACCATTTCTCATACACCGTTAGATTTCTCTATGCACGTGTGCTCACCTGGCATTGGCCGTCGGAAAGGCCATAATTGAGACTGTCGCGTTTCGAATCGAATTCCCAAACTTCGTCTTCAGGCAGTGGGGGGGTCGCATGGGTTGGCTGTTCCGTGGTTTCTCTGTACGACTCTTGAACGGGTTTTTGAAATGGAGATTGTACGTGGCTAAAAAGCGAAAAAGTGGTGACGATAAAGACGATGGCCAGGAGCAGCCAGCGGGAGCGGCGCAGCAGGAGGGCCATCGAGGACTCGCCTGGCTGCTGACTGCAGGAAAACGAAGACTTGTTGGCATACATTGTCAAAAAGAAGGTAGACGGCAGACCGGGTAGGTAGCAGCTGAGCTCCGCCAGGGAAATGCGCACCGTATTGATGGCGGAAGAGGTGTCTCAGAATACAATCATTACTTACGAGGGTGAAGGTGATGAGGTCGAAGGCGAAGGCGAAGACGAAGGCAAAAGCGACAGCAAAGGGATCCCTTCATTTTAATAAGTTTGCCATTTCCCCATTGGTTTGGTATCACCTATGTAATCTTTCTAATCTTCCTAATCTTGGTCGGCATTGCGTTGATTGCTGATTGCGGCTTGCGTTAGCGAGGGAATGAATGCGGTGCTGTACCTTAAGAAGATACGACATGTGCATAAGATAAGTCCGGAAAAGCAAGGAGCGTATGAATGGACGCAGTGGCACGCAATCCATTAAATCATTGGTCCATTTTGAACAGGGGTTCCCTCCCTATCTACGCTGCTACGGTACTATGGTACAATACCGACTAGTAAGAATAGGGGGATCCGAAGCTGGGATTCAGCTTGATCTAGGCTTTGGTTTGTAGTACAACAAAGAAGTCTTTCCAGCAACAAAAATCATATTTCTTATATTGTACAATACATTTGGAGTTCCCACGCAGCTACGTAAACTAATAATAGGTAATTGCACTATAAATTGTATACTAGGTACCTACCTATCTACTTAAGTATGTACTATGTAATAAACAAACATGCGAAGATCATTGCTTTATACGTAACGGCGATATAGAAATATGGATTTGTTTGTTAAGTCATAGAGACCGAATTCAGGTGAAACATTTTGGTTACTTATTTGCTGTAATACTCAACCAAGTCTTGTTGTTACAGTCGACGAAACGCATGAAATTGCCTATGCAGACGGGTAGGCGTCTATCTATTTTTACTTTGAGCTGATCTAATATACTACTTTTTTTATCTGATATTTATTATAGTTACAGTTGCTAGTATTACCCAAGTAATTAGGTGAGCTACGGGCTACCTACTAGTAGTACTCGCTAGGTACGATAGACATGTCACATTAGTGAGTGATCACACAAATTTTATGCACGTCAAAACTCACAACTCAAATTTCAACATGGCAACGGTGATTAAGCTTTAACAATTCAAGCTATATCTTTACGCGGCAACGTGGCGAGGTAGCCTTAGGGTTTTATATAGGTACTATATTTAATTAGTACCTATCATTTTATTTTCGCTACGCCTTCGGCATACGGGAATTTAGATTCCAATGTTTTATAAAGTGCTAAACTCAAGGATTCAATGGTTGCTTACTTAGGAGTCTGTCTGTGTGGTCGACATCAATGATACGCTGAACGTACGGATACGAAGCTGCACAGCATGGTAGCTGGAGGTGACGCTGTCAGCAATATACCTACTTCGGGTAGGTATTAAGGGTACCTATATCTATTTACCTGGTAGCCAACCAACCAATTTCTGACAGCTCAACCCGGTGTCATGGCGAAGGGTTAGATTGGGCGAGCTCTTCACGGCATAATAATCACTTCCTACCGCAATAATTGAGCCTAGATCGGCCTATCGGCGCTGGGCGTTCTTCGCTACGCAAAACATAACCTTCCAGCTATAGCAGGTAGGTTGGAACTATTGGGTGGCGTCGTGCAGATGCTATCTCTATGAAGAGCTAAGCCGTAGCCGCGCTCGCTTGACTGCAACCCACCTCCATTTGCACTGAATGTCGCTAGATGCTTTGAGTTTTCTTACGATACCTACTAGGAAAAGCTGTCTCTCACATGGCGTTTCTTTCTCAGCTTGGCGTTCGATGACTTTTCTACCTTCACCTCAGCCTTCCGTGTCTTCACTATGCTTTCTATTGAAGAATATAGAACACCAACAGTCATATCGATCAAGCAGCCAAGTATTTCGAGCTGTGCCCGATTCTGAGCCGATTCGAATTCCAAGGTCATCCGCTTCTTTATCTGTCAGCTATGCAACTCTCGTACGTCGTTCTAGCTGCAGTCGCATCCCTCGCTGTTGCGCAGACTCGGTCATCAAAGCGCGGATTGGTGTTTGTCCCCAACCCGAACAGCCCGCAAGATAACAAGATATGGGTCCAGTCAGGGTCGGATCTAACTTGGTACTATAATTATGGATCAACGCCATCGCCTGCCTTCGACGACGTATCCCAAGACGAATTTGAATTCGTCCCTATGTTATGGGGTGCTATTAATGACACCTCATTCCTCGACTCGGTTCAAGGCCAGATGGATTCCGGTCGTCATATCACACATGTGCTAGGATTCAACGAGCCGGATACCCAGTATTATGGTGGTAGCAACATCCAACCTTCGGAAGCGGCGGATGTGTGGGTAAAGAACATCGCACCTCTCGCAGACAGAGGTGTCAAGCTAGGGTTACCAGCTTGCACGGGTGGTTGGGGAGGAATACCATGGTTGCAGCAGTTTCTCGGGAATTGCTCCGAGTTGATCAGCACAGGCGATGACAAGAAGAATTGCACGTATGATTTCGTGGCGATCCATTGGTATGGGAATTTCGAGGGTTTGGCGAGTCATATGGGCTCTTACGCCGCCGCATTTCCGAACGTCACCCAGTGGATCACTGAGTATAACTTCAACGATCAGGACCTCGCGACAACACAGGCTTTTTATAACACGTCTTCCGAGTATTTCGATCGCATGGATTCTGTTGGGCGCTACAGCTTGTTTGGCTCTTTCCGGTCCGGCGACAGCAACGTAGGGCCTAATGCCGTCATGTTGAATAACGACGGAGACCTCACGGACATCGGCTCGTGGTATTTGGGCATCACCGGTACAGGTGTCGAGCCTCAGTCAGGATCGAGGAGAGGATACGCACCCATGGTAGGCGCAATCATATTTTCGATGGTTTTGGGGGCTTTCCTCACGATTTAATCGAAATTTGCAAAAGACATCCAAGACGGGGGACCTCTCAATAATATATTAGAATTTCTTTAAAGTTGAATAAATTTAGAATGGCAAGGCAAATTCATCAATCGGAGTTTAAGGGAGCTACCCCGGACTTCCAAGGGGGATGGACCTTGAATGAGTTCAGTTTTTTTGTAAGGGTACCTGGATAAATAATATCAGTTGGCAGCCAGTGAAAAGTACTAGGTACAGAAAATGAGACCCCACTGATACATCTGCCGATGGCCGAAGTGACCGAAGCAAGCCTCGGCAAAATGCTAGGTGCTAGGTTCCTTGTAGGTATTACCTCGATTTCATCTTCTCGGAAAGCGCATTTCATTCTTTATTAACTGTAGACAATGCCACTGGGAAGTAGCCAAGGTCACATTTATCTTCATAGTTTGGTACTTATTTAAGCATTAAAGAGAACGATATCCTAATTTCATCCCTCTTAAATCTCAATTCGACATATTCACATCTTCACATTGTCTTGACCTCGGCTCTATCGTCACATTCTGTCAAGATGGCTACTGATAGAGTAAATTCGATTCTAAAGCACCTATCCCCAGGATCCCCTCTATCCACCATGTAAGCGGGTTATGGTCTTTGTTTTCGAGTTTCTTATTTCTATTCAATATTCATAGGTACTCCGAGACCTGATTAAAGAAGGTGTATCCCGGTGTATCACACACAGTAAAATCCAATCGATAATGTTTGTTAGAGGCTTGGAGAGATGTAACAGAAATACTAACAATCGTTCTCCTAGTACGTCAAAAAACCCGGATGACATAGTTATTACGCTCGCAGTTCGGACACCTCTCTGCAAGGGTAAGAAAGGCGGGTTCAAAGATACCACCGTCGAGTACCTTATGTACGCCATCCTCAAAGCTGCGCGCGAACGCTTGGGATTCTCTCCGGATCTTGTCGAAGATATATGCATGGGAAATGTACGCGCAAGTTCAACTGTCCTAGAATTCGTCAAAGAAACAGACCTTTAATCCACCCTTTGTGTATAGGTATCAGATGGCAAAGCAGCCTACAAAGCACGTGCCGCAGCTCTTTCCGCGGGGTTCCCCAACACTACGAGTGCTTCGTCCGTAAACCGGTTTTGCTCTTCCGGTCTCAAAGCCACCGCCGATATTGCTCATCAAATCTCTGCAGGCTCGATAGAGATAGGCATCGCCGCCGGTACCGAATCCATGACTGCCGGTGGCGATGCCCTCGAGCAACCGTTTGACAAAGAGGTAACTAAGCACAGCCAAGAGGCCGACGACTGTATGATGGCCATGGGCTGGACGAGTGAGAATGTGGCGAGGGACTTCGGGATCTCGCGCCAGGCTGTCGATGAATTTGCGGCTGAGAGCTTCAGGCGAGCCGAAGAAGCGCAGAAGGCCGGCCTTTTCGATGACGAGATCGTCCCCATCACCACTAGGATAAAGGGGCCTGATGGCGAATTCAAGACCGTCACCCTAACTAAGGATGAAGGTATTCGGCCGGGAACGACAGCTGCCGGCTTAGGCAAGATCCGCTCTGCATTTACGCAATGGGGCCCTATTACCACGGGAGGTAACGCCAGCCAAGTTACCGATGGCGCCGCCGCCGTGGTGCTCATGAAGCGCTCCAAGGCTGTCGAGCTCGGTCTGCCTATCGTAGCCAAGTACGTGGGCTCAACCGTCGCCGGCCTAGCTCCTAGAATTATGGGAATCGGACCAACCGTAGCGATTCCCAAGCTACTCAAACAGCATAACATTACTTTGGATGATGTCGACGTGGTCGAGATTAACGAGGCGTTCGGAACTATGGCTGTGTACTGTAGAGAATATCTGAAACTGGACTGGGCCAAGATGAACCCTCGAGGCGGTGCCATCGCCCTCGGTCATCCCCTCGGTGCCACAGGCACTCGACAAATCGTTACCGGTCTAAGCGAACTGAGGCGGACGAAGAAGAAGATCTTATTGACGAGTATGTGCATTGGAACGGGAATGGGGATGGCTGGTTTGTTTGTAAATGAGCAATGATTATAGGTAATATTCGAAAAATAGCATGGGGTGAATGACGGATGAGGAACTTTTTCTATCTTCATTCGATTCTTGTATTGTACATGTGACTACCTACGTTTTAGGTATATAGCGCCAAATGACATTTTACCCTAGCAAAGACTCTTCTATGTTTACTAGATAGGTACTTAGGTATCAGATAGGTACCCAGACATATTTGAGTCTGTAGCTCTAATTGTGGTATCGCCTTAACCCAGGTCACCTCAAAGCCAAACCCCCCCATCATTAGAACCAAAGATGTCCCTATATAACTTCCAAGATCGGAATTGATCCGGTAGCTCAAGGCACAGGGTATCATATTTATTTATAAGCTCAAATTTAGGTAGATATTAGAATATTATCGATGTCATCACATCCATCTTCCATGTGGCTATCCCCCTTCGTCCAATCATAAAAGCACGGCAAAGGCCCAATTGATATCGGCCTCGTGAGATTTCTTCAAGCTGCCCTTAAGCCAACAGGTGTGTTGGTTTCCCGTATCCCCCTGGATATAACCCCAGCCGCATCCTGTGCACCCGCTAGTCCCAGCACAGTTCTTCATACAGTCCAGCATGCTCTCGGTGGGTACATGTCGTAGATCGGTGGCCTCGTCGCCACTATAGTCTATACCGCAAATCCGTAAGAACTGCTTCTCTGACCCTGGGACCTGGTAGGTAGTCCCATTAGCAGCAGGACAATCGATTTTCCCCTCGGAACTGCTTGTCGATGAGGAACTATCCGAAGTCCGAGTCGCTGATGAGCCGGATGGAGTCGTTGGTGTCCCAGTTGCCACAGATGTATTTGAACCTAACGATGTAGTCGCAGATGATGAACTAGAAAATATCAGCATGTTCAGACAGACATAAACGCGAGTGTCCTATAAGAGACATCGTAAACGTAAACATTACGAACCTTGATACAGCGCCAACCTGCGCCTGAGCCTGGGTAGAGCTCTGGGACGCACCTTTACCCACCCCTACACCCACGCCAACTCCGATTGCTACAACCAACAAAAGCGTTATCAAGGCTACCAGCCACCAAAATTGGGTTCTCCTCAGTCCGAATATTCTCTTTTCGGGCGGAGATACCTGTCCACCTAACGGAGGTAGAAGCCTCTCTCCACCAATACCTCCTCCGATAGCGCGTACCTCCCTAGATGGCCGTGGACTAGCAGGCGGTGTCGCATCGCCTAACCATGTCGATGGTAGACGTTGGTGTTTTTCGGAGCTAGCAGCAGGTGCGAAATACGCCCGCGACGCGTTCTTCAACTCATTGAAGTCGCGATTGGCAAAGAAGTCAAAGCCACGGAATTCGAATGTGGACGATCTATTCGCGTCTCTATTTACTGGGCCCGCCGTTATGCTAGTAGTAATACCGGCACGGGGTATCGTTTCCGCGACAACTCCTGGTCCTGCTATCGTTCGTGGCGGTTGCTGTGTCGGTTTCGGGCGACCTAAGACGGTGGTCTCCGGCCTATCAGACTCCATCGGGGTTGTTGAATGTCGTGTTTAATCATCGCCGAGAGGCAACCATTATATTAATAGGTAACTTTATAAGGAGTGGACCGAATTGAAGACAATTGAAACGATCGGACGGCGGCAAATAGGCCACACTACAGTGATACCAAGCAACTTGTAGTAAGAGAGAGGGACAATGGGGGGATGATGTAGGATTTCAAAGGTTTAATTTCCTTTCTGTATGAACCCGGGTTGACATCAGGGATGTCATAGGAGCCTCCAATGGCACGTACATAGAGTACATAATTGGCTACGCTGCCCTGATAACGTAGGATTGTTAGAGGAACGAGCCAACCCAACTTCAAGTAAAGATGCCCCTGAAAAAGATCATGAATATAGTTAGGTTGGTACAATGTTCAAGGTATGTCCCGTATCCCTCATTTTCAATGTTTTACGTATTAGTTCATGGCAGTTTCCGAAGTAATTGTTCACCTAATAATACATCGAGGCCGCTTAATACTTCGTAAGGAAAAGGGGAATATACATGATAGTAGGGTACTAGGTAGACCTACTAGAAGTTGGTAGACAAGCTTCTGTTGGTTTACAAACCCTGGTCTATCGTGACCAAAACTAACTGTATGCGGGGAAATAGGTCGAAGCTAGTATACCTCTGGAGATATAGACCGAGAAATTCTCGCTCACGGACTCTAGTGTATCATCGCCTATTCATTTTTTTTCTTCTATAACCGAGATAAAAACAAGCGTCCATACTATTATGGTACATATCTAGGTAGTAGGTAAGTTGCAGGGCTTTACCAACGACGACACCCAGGTACTAAATCCCCGGTGTTTTAGAATGAAGTACGCTATGTACCTTGTAGTGAATCGATTGGGAAGTATCATGACAACTCGTCATACTAGGTAGGTACCTATCTGGGGAGGTGGAAGATATTTCAGCAGAGAAGACTCTATGGAATAATTGATAGTGGTGTAAACTAAAAGTTTGGGCTTTGATATAAGAGATTGGGATTTCATTGCGGTATAACGAAAGGTACCTAAGTAGGTATTAAGTAGGTAGGTAATAAATAAGTCAAAGAAGGGGGTATTTGTATGGGGGGGGTATTTGGCAGGCCCATTTTTGTGGTGAAACCTTAGCTAATAAGAAGTGGATGCATTATACGGGTTACTTTTTTTAATATATATTCGATATATTTTTTTTTTATTTTTTTTTTAATTTTTTTTTTTTTAATATTATTTAATTAATTAAAACGTTTAATTTTATATATTATATTTTATAAAAAAAATTATATTTAATTAATATTTAAATAAATAATTAAAATTATTATTATTAATAATATTTTTATTATTAAAGTTATTTTTAATTAAAACGTTTTTCGTTTTATTTTTTAAAATTAAATTAACGGTTATTAATTAATTTTTTCGGTTTATTTTTTTAATAATATTTAATTATAAATTAAAAAAACGAATTAATTATATAATTATATAATTAAAACGAATTAAGTTTTAAATTAAAATATTATTAAATTAAAACGTAATAATTTTATATTATAAAAATATAAATTATAAATCGTGAAATTTTTAAATACGTTTTCGTAAATTTTAAAAATAAAATATTATTATAATAAATTATTAATTATAAATAAATATAAATGTAAAAAATATATATAATAATATAAATGTTAAAAAAAATAATAAAATTTAAAATAAAAAACTTTAACGAATTTTTATAAAAAATTTATTAATAAATAATTAATTAATATAATATAAAAAAACAAAGTTTTTTATATCGTATTTTAATTACGTAACGTAATTACGTGTATAATAATTTAATATTTTAACTTTTTTATATAATATATATATATATATTATTAAATTAAATTTAATAAAATTAATAAAAACTTCGTAATTATTACGATAATTAATTTTTTTAATAAATTAAATTTTCTTTAATTAACGATTTTTTAATTAATATTTTTATATTTTAAGTTTTTATTTTAAATAATTAAAATAATCGATATTTTAATATAAAACTTTAATTTCGTAATAATAATAATATAAAATTTATATTAAAAAAATAAAATATTATATTACGATTTAATATTTATTTTATATAAACGAAAATAATTAATTTTTCGGGAAAAATTAAATTTATATATTTTTAAATTAATATATATAAATTAAAACGTTTTTTTCGATTTTAATTAATTTAAATCGAATTAAATTAATTATATTTAAAATTATTAATGTTTTTTTTAATTAATACGAAATATTTAATATTTAAATAATTAATTAATTAAATTATTAAAATTTTAATAAAATAAAGTTTTTTAAAAAATATAAAAATAACGAATTTATCGTTAATTAATTAAAAAAAAAAAAAACTTTACGTTAATAAAACGAATTACGTATTTAAATTTTTATTTTAAAAATTATTTTAATAAATAATAAAATTTTTAATTTAATTATTATTTTTTAAAAAATTAATATATAAATTTAATAATTTAATAATTATTTCGATTTAATTTTTTTTAAAAATTAACGATTTAAATCGTTATTAAATAATTAAATAAATAAATAAATTACTTTTTTTTAATTAAAAAAAGTTTTTATTTTTAAATTAATTTTTATTAATTTTTTTTAAAAAAAATTATTAATTTTTAATAATTATAATTTTTACGAATTAAATAATTTTATATAAAAAAGTTTTTAAATTAAAATTTAATTATTATTTTTACCGTTTTATATTATTTATATTTTTTAATTTTTTAATATAAAAATTTTTAATTTATTAAAACGTTATTATTATTTTTAAATAAAAAAATAATTAATTAATTTTAATTTTATTATATTAATTAAAAAATTTAAATTTTTAAATTTTTATTATAAAATATAATTATTAATTTTTATTTTTAATTATATTATTTTAATATAATTTAATATAAATTTTTAATTAATAAATCGTAATAAAATTTTTTATATTTATTTTATTTTAATATTAAAATTTTTATTATTTTTTCGTTTAATTAATATTATTAATTAATTCGATATTTTAAAAAAATTACGTAATATTATTAAAATTATTAAATATATTTATTTTAAGTTTTTAAACGATTTAATAAAACGGTTTTTTTTAAAAAAAATAAAAAAAATTATTAATATATTTATAAATTAATTAATTAAATTCGAAAATTAACGTAAATATTTAATTAAAAAATTTTAATCGAAATATATTAAACGTAAAAAAGTTAAAAATAATTTAAATAAATATTTTATTTAAATTAAAAATATTATATACGTTAAATAAAAAAAAATATTAAATTTAATTAAATTTAATAATAAAATTTAATTAATTATTATTAAAAAATTATATTTAAAATAATAATAAAAATTTTATAAATTAATAAAAAATTAAAAATTTATCTTTTAATTCTTAATGTACCGCGTTATATTATATATAATTAAAGTTTTATTATAAAAGTGGGTTTGCCGAATACCCCCCCCCATACAAATACCCCCTTCTTTGACTTATAATGGCTCGTAAATGTCTTAACTCTTAACCTTTAAAAAATATTTGGTGGGTCAGGTACCGCATCGGAACAATGAGAATATTTGTTCCGCTTTCTCCAGATATAAAACCTGATTGGGCAGGTGATGGGCGTTATGTACCTAGGTACCCACTTGTGTACATCTTGCAGCACTGATGCAAGTAACATTCAAGATGCAATTGGAGAAAGTGCTATCTTGAGCTACGTGTTAGCTAGGTAACTACACAGGATAACTACATACATACATCGCAACTCCAGCACTTCGTCATTTCTCTATGTTTGTATTTGTTATCTAGCTCATACACTGAAGTTTCAATTCATCTTGTCATAATTCATCTATCTAACTATCTAAGTATCTAATGGTCAAAACTCATCTTAAGATTTAGACCTCGCTTCTAGCCCGCCAAATCGATCAACCGGACATAAACCGCATTATACATACCAACAGCCAAAATGGTAAGAAGTCTTTTCTTTTTTTGGCCTAGAAGACATCTTGATCTGACCTCTATTAGAATACGCAATTCAACTCGGCGCTCAAGCAGTCTACCTCTATAAAACGGGACCTTACCAACATCACTTCGTCACCTGATAGCGCGCCTCCTACTCCCGCAGCGTTAGGCTCCCTCTCCGCCTCGCTGACAGCATTCTCGCGAACGCTAGACGAATACAACGCCCTGGCAAAGCAGGAACTCAACCCGGCTAAGCAGGAGAAGGCCTTCGAACGAATCAAAAACTTCCGATCTGAGCTTTCCTCGTTTCGAACGCAGTTGGACGAGCTGAAATCGCGGCGCGAAGATGCGCTGCATTCGCAAAATCGCTCGGAACTTCTTGGCCGAAGACCGTTCGCTACTGTGACGCCCGAGAACCCCTACGCGAACACGCCGCCCCAGACTTCTCCATCGATCCCCCCGAACCGGTACGGCAGCGGAGGAAGTCAGTTAAGCATGGGCAGCAACGACTATACTCGAGAATCGCATGCGTTGCGGGAACAGAACTTCTTCGCAAATACTAACACGGCACTAGATGAGTACATCGCCAGGGGGCAGGCTGTGCTCGGGGACCTGGGAACGCAGCGGGAGATGCTGAAGAATACGCAGAAGAGGCTATATAGTGTTGCTAATACGCTCGGCGTCAGCGGAGATACTATACGCATGATCGAGAGGAGGGCCAAACAAGACAAGTGGATCTTCGGGGGTGGCGTGGTGGTGTTTTTTGGCTTTTGCTGGCTGTGTCTGCATTTTCTCCGGTAGAGCTGGTCAAGTTTCGTGTTGCGCGAGACGTCGGATTTTAGGAATTCACATCACTTTTAGCGAGGCGTTCAGGTGTCTTGTTAGTCGAATACTCGATTTACCGCTTTTTAGTAAATGGACCCCGCCTCTTATTCCGGCGAATATTCCTGTTTACCGCAGGTCTAATAATATAAGATTGCCTTATACCAAAAATTATACTCTTCTAATTGTTCTACCAACTTGTTTAACTCATTTTTGTCATCTGCTTTAATGCAATGGTGAAGAGCACATCCTTCGTGGTTTTGATTTCGACTACCTCGGTCTCTGGCAAAACATGGTTACTTGTGCTCATCTGGCCTCCGAACTCGGTTGGCCAATCCTCAACGTCCCACTCGAGACCTTTGGTGGTGATAACGCTCGGTTCCTTGACCGGAATAATGCCGACGTACTTGGCGAACGGGTCGCCGCTCATGCGGGCGAAGTTGGTAACGGCGATATTAGGTTCGCGTACGTGAATACAGTGCTTCCCAGCCTTGAGGAGGAAGGACAAACTCTCTCCAGACAGAAGGAACATCTTGCCATCAGCATAGGTCGGCGAGGTCTGAAAGAGATACAGGTGATGTATTTGGCTTAGCCCCTGATCAACACGTCCCCCGAGACCGCCCATACAGACGATATCCTTTCCTGGGAAGTCTTTGCGAACTAACCTAACGGCTTTAGTAAAATCGGTGGAGTATTGATCTGGGTCATGAATGATTGTACAATTAGCCGGTTTAGTGGTGAAGAATGTTTTAGCCTCATCGGATAGAGAATCTAGGTCGCCAATTATTGTGTTCAGGTTTACCTTAAGATCTATTAGTCTACTTAATATCAGATAGGGGAGGTGTTTAACTGAAAATCACAAATATCTTGTGATATTGAACTGATTGAACTCACATAATCACCAGCGGAAGATGGATTTTGGCCTTCTTTTGTTAATGATTTTCGATTGAGATCATAAACATGGTTGGCGCCACCATCGGCAGCAACGCAGGTTTTCGCTATGAAAGAAATCAGTACCCCTGGGACTGCACTCCGTATTTGCGTTGCCGAGTATACCTATACTCCAAATGTCCTTGAACAAGCATTCATCTATGATTGGTTGGTTTAGAATGACCAAGGCAAAGTCGTATCCAGGATAATTCAGGAACTGTCTGATAGGATACCATTCGGTGATTTTCTCCTTCGATGAATCCATGGTGACGATGATATGAGACGAATAAAGACTGTTCTCATAGACGTATACTGAGAGATACAAAGTATATATGAAGCAAGGCGTGCAACTAAATTGAGTTGAAATAACTATGAGCTTTATGTTCAGAAAGCATATTAACAGGGAGTATGCCACTTAACTAAAGCGGATATTTCATAAATGAGGAAGTTTCAGACGGAAAGTCAGATTTAGAACTTTCCAACGTTGAGGCTCCCAAGTGAAGCTCAAAATGCCTTACCTAAGGTAACTTTACTGCCTTAGTCTAAGCTACGCCGGGAAGGTCCGTTGAGGACTTCTATGTAATACCAATAACGTCACCTAGGGCTGAGCGCACCGGCCACTTTGTAGATCTATTTGGGTTAAGGTACATTGACTTACCTATCACTTTGGTATATCGCCTTATATTCTTGCCGCTAGAGTACTTGTCCCTTGGTCCGTGGATATTTTAACTGTGTACCTAGTACTTCGAGGTTATGGATGTATGTATGTAATCTGTGTAACAGTAATACCCCCAAATTTATGTATGATAGCGCAAAAGGTTATCGGTCATTGTTCAATGACATCCCGTCCCAGCTCCGAGAATCAACGCCTTAGAAATTTTTAGAGGGACAATTTCTAACTTGCTTACAAAACATTTTCATTTCCATCATTTTCCCATGTCCGCTCTACATTTATCGCACGCACACTTTTCCCACTCTCACAAACCTCATCCGTAACCTCGTACTTTCTTTTAGCCTTTGGGTCCTTTTCGAGTCCAATTCTTTTTAGTTTCATTTATTAGTGAGGAGCACACCGGCACCATGTATAGATCTGCTTTGCGGTCAACGCCGCGCGCCGCAAACACTTTTAGACATACGACGCTCTCGACTAGTGGGCGACGATTTGCCTCGACGACACCTCCAGCTGGCCAGAAGCGAAGTTGGAAGAGCGCGGCTGTAAGGTGGGGTATAGCTGTTGGTGCGGTATATTGGTACAGCACAAGTGCAGTCTTTGCAGAAGAGCCACTACGTAAGTAAATATTTGTCCGAGAACTTGTGTATGGATTCCGCTAACAGTACTCTCGGCCAACAGCTAAAACAATACCACCACCTCCCCAGTTCTCCGACGAAGATCTCCCTACCGTAGAGGCCGTAGTCGCTCAAAAGCGTAGGGAGGCCGAAGCACGATTACGAAAAGCCCCGTCAACCCCCGAACCGGCAACGGCAGGTCTCGCGTCAGAAATTTCACCTTCAGCACCTGTTCGTGATGTCGAGACACACGCGCAAGACCCCCCTCCGGAAGGAAGCCCCGAAGCGTTAGAGGAAGAGGCCGGTCAACAAGGCGCATTCAATCCTGAGACGGGCGAGATTAATTGGGATTGCCCATGCTTAGGTGGCATGGCCCATGGCCCTTGCGGCGAGGAGTTCAAGGCCGCGTTCAGCTGCTTTGTCTATTCTAAGGAGGAGCCGAAAGGGATGGACTGCATCGACAAATTCCAGTACGTCTTCGGGAACCTAAATACTTACTCGCTTATCGTTTTAAACTAATGCGTGACAGACACATGCAAGATTGCTTCCGACTTCACCCCGAGGTTTACGGGGAAGAGCTAGATGAGGATGAAACTTCCGCGGAGGGTACCCCCGAAGATGGAGCAAAGACGTCGGTAGCTAAAACAACTACCACGGAGTATAGCAACACCGTATCAAGATCAGAAGAATCTCAAGAAGCAACGAAGGCCATCTCTGAAGAAGCTAAGACGACAGGAGCAGGCGCAGACGCAGAGGTCGGGGCTGTCGCAAAAGAGACAGAAAAGCAGAATATTCCTCCGGTACAGCCTTAAAGACGACTAGGTAGATATCGAGGAATTTGCAGGCGATCATCCGGGGCTCGCTTAACAAGGAAAATCCCCGGATCCGTGCAGATGTGCCTCAGACTATTATTTGCGTTGGACCGTTGTCACAGCGCAAAACCCTTGTATATGTGTACTAAATGTATATTATGAAGCGCATAAGGCATGGCAAAATAGACACTAACCAGCTCTTTACGATATCTCTAACCTGCCTTACCGATTATAGTAAAGCCGCAAAACATAGCACGGTGAAATCTGCTGTTCGACCACTTAGCTGATTCGCCGTGTCATCCAGTGGTTCGGCAGCTGAATGTTAAGCGTACCTTCAATCAGGGGGATCTCGGTCTTTTAGTCGTAGCATTTTCCCTTGCTGACGTATAATCAAGGGGAGTCGAGGGGAGTGAAGGTCTTGGCCTGGGGTAAAGGGGCGATATAATAGGTGTCAACCATTGGTTCTACCCCACAGTCTTTTTTTTTTCAAGCATGGCTACATGTACATGGGATCAGATGCTTGTAGGTACAATACCTACATACCTACATACCCTGCATACCCTACACACCCTACATACAATACGATGGACCTTGCCCGCTGCCCACTGCCCAGCTACTAACCTCCAATTCCATCTCCAATCCATAACCCCAGACCCCTAGCACAAAGCAACAATGTGAGTAGCGTTCATAATTAAATTATTGTCCTTGTTACAACTCTCATGGCAGACCTACCTGTTATCCTGTCGTCTCAGATACGTCGTTCTTCTTCTCAGCGCATCACAAGTTGGACATGACAGCGTTACCCATAGAGGAAGGCCGCCGGATTACAAAATCTTCCAGACCTGTTACCGCCGCTACTAGTGCTACCGCCACTTCCGAATCACATGCAACTCTGGTTAGGGACAGCGATAAAGGCACGATAGCTCCACCACGTGCGAAACGGGTGCAAGTTGCCCGTGCCTGCCAGCGATGCAGGCGGCTCCAGAAGGCATGTAGCGACTCGCGGCCGTGTCAACGTTGCACGAGGGCCGGGCTTTCTGGTGAATGTAGCGGCTTCGCAGTCCACCCCCGAGCATCATCTCAGAATCCATCTTCTCAAATATTAAAGTCTGCCGAGACCCCAATCCGGGTTTACGGGGCAGCAAACTCTTTAGACACTGCTCCGCGACCGTTATTTATCAACTTAGAATTACCTACGAGCCCTCAGTCGTTCACCAGCTTTTCGAGAGAATCCTTTGAGAGGAAAGCCGGCCTGCTACCTCCTCAAGTCATCGACTATTGTTCCGGTCGTTTCTTTGAGCGTCTCGCCCCGACAATCCCAATCATAACACCGGAATATGTCGCGAATCTTAGGACACGAGCGCCTTCCGAGAGCGAGGCTTATTGCGTCTTGCTCGGATTATGTACTATGGTGACACTACAAGTTGAAGACCCCCGCGACAAGTATTTCGGACCTTTTGTCACAGCCGAGAACAATGCCGCATACGGCTGGTTATTGCTCGAGGAAGCCCTAGCAGCGCATCGCCATCTGGCACGTAGGTCGAACCCGTGTCTCGACTCCGTCTTGCTTGTATTCTTCATATACGCGTGCCACGCGAGCCTGTTTCACCACTCACAGGCCTTTTTCTTCCTTCGCGAGGCAGCGACCCTCTTTGTCCTGATAAAACCCGACACCATGGATAGCCTCTCGAGGTCTCTGGCGGAGCGGCTGTTCTGGGTCTTATTAGTTTCCGAGAGGTCCCACGCAATACGCTACCGGCGCCCCATCACGCTCCAGGTCACGACTAACGGCTTCGGGTTATCAATAGCTGGCGAAGACGATCGTTCGCTTTGTGGGTTCCGATGTCTAGCTGCCCTTTTCCGGGGTCTGGATACGAGTTTCATAGCCCTACTAAATCAAGAAACGGTGTCCCGTACACTGGCCCACGATTCCCTCGACGACGTTGAAATATCCATCAACACGGCATTAAACCACTCGTGCCCTTCCGATCTCCTTCCAACTCAAAAAGCCAATCTCAGGGTAACGCAGCTCTGGCTCCGCATCGTCCTCTGGCAGTTACGTCTGCGTTTGGGACACCTCTCAGAGCAGAGCACGCAGAGTAGTCGTACCTATCACTACCCCCTCGATGTAGCGAAGGATTTGACACTGTCGACACGTGATCTGCCTATACACAGCATCCAGGTACACGGAGCGGGTATAACGGAGAAACTTTTCGACATATCCTGTGCCGTCGTGAACGTGCTCGCTCGGGTACCTGTAAGAGTGACCAAGGCAGCGGCTGAAGATGATCTGAAATACGTGAGACGCTTAATCTTACAATTGCCGGGCGGCGCGACGGTTTACGATGCATTGCTGCTCAAACATATCCAGCAAACGTTACCAACTATGGCAGCGGGACTGGAGGTGTAGTGTGAATATCTCAATCAGTGAAAACTACCCTACGATAATGGATAATTCTTAACGCGACAAGAGGTCGGCCACTTCTTGCGCAGAGCTGTGTGGCTAAATACTAAAAATATTAATTATTATAAAATTATAGGTACCTAGGTATCTCAAAATTAATTCTTGTAACTACCTAGTATGTAACCATTCACCTATACGTGCTGTAGATCACGATGTTTACAAAAGTCATTTTACGTCTTTCTCTAGATTATGCTCGGACTCGGACATCTTTTTGAGATCGTCACCCAATTGATGCGAGAAAGGATCAATCTTGGTCTCGGCGAACATGCGCGCTGGGACTTTGTGCTCGAAGAGTAAATCCAATTCCGCATAGGTTCTTCCTACAGCGAGGGGGGAAAACAGCAGTTAGCCCCGACGACCCAGACGCGCTATTATGGAAATTCCCAAGAAATACATAAAAAGAAAGTAACGCACCTTTAGGTTCAGGCAGTCGAAAGAATACCCAGACAGCGGACAATAAACATGTCCCAGCCCAGAAGTATGCAGTCTTCGCACCCCAATTCCATGCCGTCGACGACAGCTGGTAGTTAGTCATGACATTTACGAATATGTTACTCGCATTATAGCCGGCACGCGCGAGGACGATTGTCTTAGCCTTAAGCCGTGTCGAAGACAACTCGGAGATCAGTGAGTAAGTGACCGGGCCGACAGTAAAGTCGTAAACGAACGTGAAAACGATTAGCATCCCGCCAATTGCCCATATGGAACCGTTGGAGTTGGAAAACGATAGAGAACCGACGATGATCAGGATGAGAAGCTGACAACAAATCCCGCTGAAATGGATGGTTCGTCGGCCGACACGGGACATGAGGAACCAGGAGCCGGCGGTGCCCACCATTCCTAATGCGTACTGCCCCATGGAGAGGGAGAAGGAGTTGGATGCATCCATTCCGGCTTGGGTTCTGCAATGGGTTAGCACGCACATCGATGTACTTCGTCTAATTTTACATCATCGTGACAGTGGCTGCGACCTTACAGAAAATATGCGAAGTAGCCCATGAGATTCTGTCCGCCGAGTGTTTGCACGAGCCAGATCCCCACGACAATCTCCGTTCGCCTCAGGTCGATGCCTTTGAAACAATCACGATAGGTAAGGCCGTCCTTCATCCGTTTTTCGAGTTCGTTAGTATGCTCGATCATGGCTATAGTCTCGTCCACGTTAAAATTCGGGTCATTTCGTGATGTAAGTCTCAAAAGAGATGCTTTCGCAGCTTCGCGATCTCCATGCCGGATATGCCACCACGGCGATCTATGTGATTGATAAATTAATCAGCGAGCCTTACATTTTCTAAGATTAACTCACTCTGGGGCGAAAAATAGCCCGGCAAGAATGGGTACTGGCCAAACCCACTGCACTCCAAACGGGATCTTGTATGCCCAGTCGTCGGATCGGCCCACCGAACCTTTATTCACGGCGGCTGCAAAGAACTGGCCGATAACCCAGCACATATTGATGAAAGTAGTCAAGTATGGCCTCAGGACGACGGGGGCAACTTCAGAGGCATAGGCCGGAGTAACAGATTGAAATGCACCCCAAGGAATGCCTAGACGGCGTCAGATTTGGATGTAGGTAATGATTCGCATCCGAATAATTCTGCTTACCGCACAACACCTCTCCAACAACAAGGACTTGTACGTTAGGTGCGAAGAACAAGACGAACACGAACATGATCATCAGGACCAGGGATGCGATCGTGGTCATCTTGTAACCGTACCGGTCCGAAACCCAACCAGCGAAGATAAGGCCGAAGATCTCGCCGGCGCGTGCGCCGTTAGACAACCCCGATTGCCACGCTGCTGAAACGACCCATTTATCGTTCGCTGCGCTGTAGGTACCAAATTTCTTGTTGAACACAGGCGAGGCATAGAGGCTGCCTAATAGTGCAAGATCGTAACCTTCCATAATGAGTGTGGACGACAGTAAGACCGACCACGCGATCGCCTTCGGGTACAGTTTGATGGCTTTCATGAGTGTCATACGCTGTTCGGCGTCTGCGGCATGCTTGGCATCCGATATAAGGGTCTCGTCATGAGCCACATCTACGCCGTCGACGGGTTTATGACCGCTTTCGGCATCGTACACATCTCGTTTTTCCGTTTCCATGTTGTCGTTCTTTTGCTATGAGATGATATCCGAGACTTAAAAGAACCTCAAAAAAAAACTAAAAAAAACCCTTAACGGTTCCGAGGTCTGATATGAGTGGTACTAAGTAGCTTGCTCAACCTGACCGGCTAGAAATATCATGGGCGAGGACATGACCGCAGCTATTTAACTTTTTTCTTGTCGCTAAGAACATAATCTTGGAGTCTATCTAGGCATATTAGACGAGAGAGAGCGGGAGAGAAAGGGAAAAAAGGCCCGTCTAGCTCGACCACGGTCCAGCTCCGCGTGGGGAAGCCAACCACGTTCATTCTATGCGGGGTGCAGCTAGGCGAGAGTGGGCAAACCGGGGATGGCCTGAAGATATCGTTCCATTATCACGTCTTATAAGTACTGAACTATACCTAGATTAGGTACCTACCCAGGCACTACGTTGTCTTAAGTACCATAAAATTGCTCTCTGGGGATGGCGGCTACAAATTTCTATTAGCAGTATACTAACTTACTAAGTAAGTACTAGGTAGGTTATGTGTTGTATTTCCCAGTAGACTATTACTTACTTTCTAAAAAAGAAAATTAAATAAATACCTAGTACTATGAGAAGCCGTTAGAAATTTAGTCTTAGTGAAACATCAAAAGAAATATGAATGAATATTTCGGAGTTACCAAGCTTTTATTGGGTAGCTTACCAAAGAAACAAGGAGAGATGGCGGAGTGAGGCGGAGTATGGCGGAGTATAACGGGGTATGACGGGGTATGACGGAGTATGGCGGAGTTAAGCAAGATGGTCGGAGTCGACACGGACCTCTATATTCTCTTGGCAGATAACTCTATGCTATCGTTAGGGTGTCATCATTATACATAGGTAGCAGATACTACGTAGGATCACACGCGGTGCCATGCGACTAACTTAGACGTGGATCCGATCTCGAGCGAACTTGACCCGATGATGTGGATTCCGAATCAAACACGAAACTTGATCTTCGATCATGCCTAGGAGAGCCCCATGGTCGGTCAGTCATATAGAACATGTCTCGGGCCAATGAATGGCCGAATTTACCTCCTCTTCCTCTGTCTTATCAAGACTTTCTTCGTCGTGGAAGGCTATTAATTGCACGTACACACAAATACAAGCATCATGAATGGCCTTTACCGCGAGAATGGCTGGTTCGGCAAAGAGCCATGGTGGAAGGATGCTACTTTCTACCAAGTTTACCCAGCAAGCTTTAAAGATTCCGATGGTGATGGCTGGGGGGACATCCCAGGCCTTATCTCCAAGATAGACTATCTTCATCAGCTCGGCGTCGATGTAGTGTGGTTATCGCCGGTTTTCGAAAGCCCTCAAGCCGATATGGGCTACGATGTATCGGACTACCAGAAAATCTACGCGCCGTATGGAACTGTCGACGACGTCGATGCGCTCATAGAAGCATGCCATTCCAGAGACATGAAGTTGATCCTCGACTTGGTGGTGAATCATACTTCCGTCGAGCATGAGTGGTTCAAGGAATCCCGTTCGTCAAAGACCAACCCGAAGAGGGATTGGTACATCTGGAAACCGGCACGGTACGACGCGCAGGGCCAACGGGTCCCACCAACAAATTGGCGAGGGTATTTCGCTAGTTCCACCTGGACTTGGGATGAAAATACTGAGGAATATTACCTGCATCTCTATGCGCCCGAGCAGCCAGATCTTAACTGGGAATCGAAGACATGCCGCGAGGCGATCTATGAGAATACGATGCGATTTTGGCTCGAGCGTGGCGCGGATGGATTTAGGATCGATACTGTCAATAAATACAGCAAACGCACCGAGTATATCGATGCGCCGATTACGGATTCAAACTCGCCGTGCCAACCGGCCCCGGAGATGTGGTGCAATGGGCCACGTATCCACGAGTTCATTCATGAGATGCGGGCGAAAGCGCTCGAACCCTACGGAGCTGTCTCCGTTGGCGAGCTATCAAACACGCCGCATCCTAGTCAGGTCCTGCCGTACGTGTCGGCAGCAGCGGAGGAACTGGACATGGTTTTTGAATTTTCCATGATTCGTTTAGGAACTGGCGGCATGTTCGGTCCCAAATACACGTATGTGCCGTTTACCTTGCCGCAAATGAAAGCAATCGTCGCAAAATGGCAAACCTTCATCGAAGGTACGGACGGGTGGACAACGGTATTCTGTGAGAATCACGATAACGGGCGAGCGGTGAGCCGATTTGGCGACTGCTCCACACCCGAGCTTTGGCGATCGAGCGCAAAAGCTCTCGCGCTCTGGCAAGCCACGTTGACAGGGACACTCTTCCTTTACCAGGGTCAGGAAATCGGTATGACAAACATGCCAGCCACGTGGGATATCGACGAGTACAAAGACGTGGAGAGCTTAAACTTTTATGCCGAGGCACTGGCCTCCGGGGACGAGAAGACGGTTGCAGACACGATGCATGGCTTGCGCATCCTAGCCCGTGACCACTCGCGAATTCCTTTTCAATGGGATGACTCCCCTAATGCTGGTTTCGCGGAAGAAGGTGTCAAGACGTGGATGCGGGTCCACGATGCCTACCCAAAAATCAATGCCGCAAAGCAAATGGCGGATCCGAATTCGATCCTGAATTTTTACAGACAGATCCTACAACTTCGGAAGAGATATAAGGATTTATTCGTATTTGGAACTTTTCGATTGTTGAAGGCCGAAGACAAGGCGATCTTCGCATACGTAAAGGAGAGTTCCCTTACGATTCAAGATCCCCAACCGCGGACGAACGGATATACTTCGAACGGCCTTGTCGGGAAGAAAAGAGCAGCGCTAGTAATGCTCAACTTTTCCAGTAGTGAGCAGGACTGTATAGACGTCAGGGATATATTAGGATGTGGTGTTGGAGAGGTTGCAAGGCTACTAATTAGTACGCGACAAGAGCTTGATGGTGAGGGATGGAAGCTTAGAAGTGACACTATATTACCAGCTTTAAAGCCTTGGGAAGGACGTGTTTATGTCAATTTCAACTAGAATTTCAACCGGATACATGTGTGTGTCCAGAGTTGTTCTAAATGGGGAGAAACAATTGAGAACACTCTGAATCTAATGTATGTATAAAAGGAAACGAAAAGAAAGTTTCAGTTTCTAAATGTTATTAACATTGATTTTCATACCCATTACACTGGGCATGTGACTTAAGCGATTACCTAATATGCATATAAACAAGAAATATTTACATGCAAATTAGATGGAATATAATCCAAAAGGGGAATTAAATTGCGTGCATATGCATCTAGGTAGAGCCCCTCGATCCCCTCGATTTCCTTGGTTTTAATGGATATAGTGGGTATATGCACGGAAATGGAGCCGTGAATCAATACGTCATTCGACCAAGGGACGGGGGCGGCAGCTACAACTCGTCACGATCATTCGTTCATATAGCGACTTCTGAGATTTCTACCCACTATCGTATTGTCTTTTTTCTTTGACGATTTCACAACCCACATCCACCTAATTATTACCATAAATCTCTCTTCCCTAAACACAGGGTGACCTAGGCCCAGAAGGACATTCTACGATTTGTTCGCCTTTCACATTATCTACCTACACATACCACCTGATATACATACACAACACAAATCAAGAGTAAGTCTACCCTATCAACCATTTCAAAGGCTCTAGCAACGGCGAATAGATATCTATAACCCCAGATCCACGAAAGGAACTAACAGGGGGAAACAGTGTCATACGCCGCCGCAGTCGCATCTGGTCCTAAGCAAACGCCCGAAGAGGTAAGTAACTCCACTTCGACGTCGCTACCCAAACTGTAGTCTTTACTTCGCTTTCCTCCATTCTTCTACTTCCCTCCTAGCGATTTGTTTCCGCGTAGAATCGCGATAACTTTCTGACATTTGTTTTCTCATAGGCCGCTGCTCCCCAACCCCCGGAGATTATCTCTTCCGAATCAGCAAGCACCGCATCCCTCGTTGACGTCGACACACCCTCGGTCCGCACAGTACCATCGGATTTTATGGAGCAGGACGTCAAGACCGAAACACAAGCTACTCGTCAAGAGCTCGAAGATGCGGCCGAGCGCGCTCGCGCCGAGGCCCATCTCGCCAAGAAGAAGGGTTCCGGAAGGGTGCGCAAAGCAGATAGTGTTCTGACTCAGTGGTTTAGTGATTTGAGCGACAATGCCACCACTGCCTTGGTCGTCTCTAACTTGACTGCTGTTATCGGTCTCAGCGCGTACTTGGGCTACAAGGCTTGGGGCTTATATGAGCGTGGACGGTTAGGTTGGAAACCCGTTGGCCTTGGTGTCGGTATTCTAGGCGGCGTGGGCCTCATAGAAGGTATCCTGGGAGGGTAAGAGACTTTTCCCTGTCGAGGCCCCCAAATCCTCATCGTCTCTAGAAAACTAACCATTCCTAGTTACCTCTACAAAGGGAAGAAAAAGCAGTCGTAGATGACTTTCTAGTACGATGTCAGTTGTCCTAATCGGTCGTCTTCACGCGTTATGAGGTTCAGGGGTGGCGATTATCGGCAACACAAGGTTCTCTGCTCATAGTTTATTCCAGCCGAGTTGTTTTTAGTACGACTTCCTTATATGACTTGTTCGTATTCTATGCTCCTTACACGAGCCTCCCACACCTTATATCGAATATGCTTAAACTCGAGGTTTCATTCGTTCCTAGGAAGAGGTGAATACTAGTCGATTTGAGTTAGTCTACGCCCTTCTAACATTATTCCCGGTGATGGCGTCAGGCGTAACGTAAGCCCTTTGCTAGATCTCCGTGACGATAAGACAAGACGTTAGAGCTATATCGACTTCTTCACTTGCTCATAGTTGATTGTATGTCGAATAAGTATCAACTAACAGCATCCTAACATCACAATTGCCTTATCACGAGGTTCACCACTAATTAGAATAATTGATAGGTAAAGGATAGGTAAAGGATAGGTAAAGGATAGGTAAAGGATAGGTACGTAGGTATGCCAGGTTATCAATATTTGAGAAAAGTTGTGAACTCATCGCTTTAGGTCACGGCGAGGCAATCCGCATTGTAGACAAGTTTAGGCATGAAGCTATAATGATTGGTTGTGTGTGAGGTACTTGGGTGAATAGATATATATATAAGAGGAGAGTTTTCCGCTTTTCATAAGTTTAACGCTCAGCAATATAAAGAATTGTCCCCTTGGGATTTGCGAGACACAATACTACCTAGGTACGATTCATCTGATTTAATGGTACTCTTAACCTGTAAGAATTTAGCTCCTATAGGTCATTATTCGTGATTTTATATAGATAAGTACCTATATTACATGTTAGATTCCGGTTACAAATATTTCTAGCTAATGATATAGCATGATATAATTGTCGTATAGTTGATTCGCCATTAACCGAGAGGGGTGGCCGAAGGATTGCACGGGATTACGTACACCGGAAGAGAGGGTGTAAACGATGAATGCTCCGACTATGATGCTTTAATACCTAACTAAGGTACCTAAATAGGTTGCGTGATTTACGGAGATGTAACAGGTCAGTTAATGGCTCCTGGTTTGGTACCAAGGTAGGTACCTTTAAAAGAATGCAGCTCGCATTATTTTACCTAATCCTGCCCCGTTAGTTCATGTTCTCTAACCCGAGCAGGTGCCAAGTATCTGAGAGACATCCCCGAGAAATTTATGGCCGGTACCGGTTCGGCCGGATCCCTCGTGACTATAGCCGATAAAATATTAATAGCCAAGAGGCGAAACCCAATGTTTGGCCACTCCGAAGCCCGAACGAAGTTGATGCGCCAACCCACTTAGCCCCGTAGGTGTGGGTTGCAAAAGTCGGGAATTGCGCCGGCTATTTACCTACTATGGCCAATGCAGTGCCGGGGATAAGGAAAGAAGACAGGAGGGTTTCGAAAAAGGGGTACGAAGTAAAAGACATTGGTAAACAGCATAACCCATATACAAACCTACCTACCAAGTACCTGTAGATCCGTAGGTAGATATGGATACCAGCAATGCGGTATTGATACAGTAACATCCACCTGGTTATAACCTCGGTACTTTTCACCGAATTATAGGTGGGTAATCAGTAACAGTGCGTCGTCGATCCCACCATGTTCAAGTTGATATCTCTGAGTCGGGAATAAGCCGCGTGTATGGGTGGCTGAAATTATCAGACCAATTAGTGATACTCAGGGCGGGTTCGAATATTTACCTACCTACTAAGTAGAGGTCGCATTGCGGCTTGAGTGGGGGAGATGGGTCAAATCGTGTGGCTAATTCCACTAAGTTGCCAGCCTGCCGGTCTGCCAGCATACAGTTCCAGTATGAATCCTTCCCGTGGTTATTCCCGAATAGACACCTAGAGTTTCGTCGGCAATAATGATAATGTCAAAATTTGACATAGCATCACAAGACGCACGCGCACACACACACACACACACAACACCGATTGCCATCCTCACGTAAGTTCTATCATTGGTTAGGTAGGTAGGCTATAGATTCGCTGACTCGTATAGTAGAGCCTTGAGATTTAAAGTACCTATAGATGTCAGATAGCACCATAGCACCCTTCCGGGTTAGTTGTCTACACCTTTCCCCTACTGCTCTTTTTTTTTTGGTTCATCTCAAGTTAAAGCGGTAGTGTCCTGTACCCACGTAACTACATGTCGCCCATCCAGTCTTTTTAGGTACTTGGATCTATACTTAAAAATCTCCGGATTTCGGCGGTAACATATACCTACGTTATGCCCCTGAAGTCTCATGGCTCTCGAATGCATGTTGCTGAACTCAGGATTGTGGCATCCATCCATATTGTGCAGCTTACTGTTACATTTTCCACTCTTGTGCAAATGCATCATACTCTAAGTATGGCCTACCTCTTAGTATCTTCCCCGGAGGGCGGAGGAGCGATGTCTTAAGCCGAAGACGCGATGAGCGTCTGGGCCAGTATAATAACAAGGGAAACTCTCCCACATTCTAGGTAGGTCAGCGGTAGTGATACAACTTGTTTAGCTCTCTACATTACTAGTGATTATCGAAACTCCACAGTTATAACATAACCCTGAAGACATCGTCATAGTTATATATTCTTTTATACCAAAGAGTTACACGCGGTGACCTGAAAGACAACAGCTCCCAGTATCCCTAGTGATGGCGGCAATCGCGAACAAAGGGACGAACGGTTCTAGCAAGCCCGAATATGGACGTCGATTAATTCCCCATATAATCGATGGGTTCGCAAAGGATGATCCCTCACGGGAGGCATTCTCTATCCCTCGATCCGAGAACCCTAAAGATGGATGGAGAGTCATCACGTTTAAGCAATATGCGAATGCCATCAACCGCGTCGCGCATAGAATTATCGAGGAGTGCGGGACACCTTCGTCGGGTTCATTCCCGACAATAGCCTATATCGGTCCAAATGATGCCCGTTATGTCGTGCTCATGGTTGGCGCAATCAAGGCTGGCTACAAGGTACTTATATTCCTTAGAAGAAGTTTACTGGGTAATTAACTGCTGCTACAGGCTCTCTTTATCTCGCCTCGCAACTCCTATGAGGGACAAATTTCCCTGTTTGAGAGGACGGACTGCAAAATAATCGCGTTTGCAAAACAGCAGCGGTCGCTGGTTAAGCCCTGGTTACAAGAACGGGACATGCAGGCCATAGAAGTTGGCGAAATTGAAGCTTGGTTTCCGGAACAGGATGTCAAGCCGTTCCCTTACGAGAAAACATTCGAGGAAGCTGAATGGGAACCTGCAGTTGTCCTACACACTAGTGGAAGCACCGCGCTTCCCAAGCCTATCGTTATCACAAACGGCCTGATAGCTACGAACGATGCATTCAAAGAAACGCCAGATTTCAATGGAGCCGTTTCCTGGATGAAAGGGTTCGCAAGTCTCGCACGAAGGCATCTTCTTCCGAGTAAGGCGGCCCCTGGAAATTAATGCGAATGCCGCTAATAAGTTCCAGTGCCTCTATTCCACGCTGCAGGACTTTACATTTTCGTCTTCTCGGCCATATATTGGGACACCCCGATCGCCTTCGGAATCGGTGAACGCCCGTTGTCTATCGACTTGGCTATCGAGTGTCTTGAGAACGTAGATGTCCAGGGGATCATGCTTCCGCCCGCTATGCTAGAAGAGATGAGTCACAGCGACGAGCTCATTCGACCACTAGCTAAGCTTAACATCGTTACGTTCGGTGGAGGTAAGAATACCTCTTCATACCTAATTTATGTGTTTTTGATACTAATTCCTGTAGGAAATCTTAACAAGGAAGCTGGTGACAGACTAGTGAAGAACGGCGTATTCCTTAACAACGTGATTGGTGCTACGGAGTAGGCCTATGGAAATATTGCATCTTGCTTATAATTAGCTAACGTTCCCCAGGTTTACTCTTTTCCCGATGTTTACTCAGCCAAACCCGGAGCTCTGGCAATATTTCATATTTAACGAGGAGGCGATTGGAGCGGATTGGCGCAGGGTTGATGGCACTGAGGATGTCTACCGACTTGTGATGGTTCGCAAGGACAAACATCCCGGTCTCCAGGGGATTTTCTATACATTCCCAGATATGAACGAATACGACACTAAGGACATGTATAGACCACATCCAACTCTCCCCCAACAATGGATATACTATGGACGATCCGATAACATCATCGTCTTCAGTAACGGTGAAAAGCTAAACCCGATTGGTATTGAAGAGACCGTCGACGGGCATCCCGAGGTCAAGGGCGCTCTGGTGGTTGGCACTGACCGCTTCCAAGCCTCGCTCCTTATCGAACCATGGAAATCCCCGCAGAGCGAAGAAGACGCGGAGAAACTCATCGATCGGATATGGCCGTATGTCGAAAGAGCCAACAAGGAGAACGTCGCACATGGCCAAATTTCACGCCAGTTCATAATGTTAGCTGATGCAAAGAAACCATTCCATCGAGCTGGGAAAGGAACAATTCAACGAGCAAGCACATTGAAGGAGTATAAGGACGAGATTGATAAGTTATACGAGGAAGCGGACCACCTTTTCGATGTTAGTACGATAAAGATCGACGCGACTTCTGAGGATACGTTAATAGAATCGATCCGGAAAATGTTCGAGACTGGATTAGGATTCAAGGGCGAACTAGGGCCGGACACCGATTTCTTCTCAGCTGGTATTGATTCATTGCTCGTCATTAACGCCTCTCGGCTCCTTCATGGCGCATTGGAAGCTGCCGGGCACCAGATTGCCCCATCTGCGGTAGCTGCTCGCTCTATCTATACTAACCCGACGCCACGGAAACTTGCAAAATTCATCCTCTCAATTTTAAATGAAGGGGAGGAATCCAGTACCAGTGGAAGTGAGGGCGACCAGGTTAAAGCTATGAAATCGCTTTGGGAGAAATACACGGCCAACCTTCCAGAGAAACGGGGAGAGAGGCCTGATCCACTAGACGAAGGTCAAACGGTACTCCTAACCGGATCCACAGGCATGCTAGGATCATATATGCTGGATCTTATGGTAAAAAACCCGTCAGTGAAGAAAATCGTCTGCTTGAATAGATCAGAGGACGGTGGCGCGAAGCGTCAGGCACAATCTGCCGAAAACCGGGGACTTAGCGCAAACTTCGCATCGAAAACTGAATTCTTTCACGTCGATATGTCGCGTCCAGATTTCGGACTTCCGCAAGGCACATACGATCGACTACTAGTTGAGGCAGATCGCGTGATCCATAACGCATGGCCAGTTAATTTTAACATGCCCGTCGAGTCATTTGAGCCACATATCCGTAGTGTTCGAAACATCGCCGACTTTGCTACGAATTCAGCGAAGCGCGCAGCTGTCGTTTTCATCTCGTCGATAGGCACAATAGAACGCTGGGGCAACAAGAACGGCGAAGTTCCAGAAGGACGAATCGATGATCTCGAAGTCGCTGATGGTGGTTACGGGCGCAGCAAGATGATTGGTAGTCTTATTCTAGAGGATGTTGCCAAAGCGGGCGACTTTCCAGCTGCCATGATCCGCGTCGGGCAAATCGGCGGCCCCGAGGCGGAGGCGGGACAATGGAATAAGCATGAATGGTTTCCGTCAATCGTTGCTAGCAGCTTGTACCTCGGTGCCCTCCCAAGCGACCTGGGAATAATGGACCGCATCGACTGGACACCGGCCGAAAGTATCGCGAATCTGGTACTCGAAGTTGCTGGCATCTCCCAGAAGCTCGTGGCCAATGAGATTAGCGGCTATTATCACGGCGTAAATCCGTCTGGCAAACCTTGGGCCGAGCTGGCGCCAGCCGTACAAGAATTTTATGGCAAGGACCGTATCCGGGAACTAATCAGCTTCAGGGAGTGGATCGACCGGCTAGAGAAGACACAAGCTAACGATACCCAAGCTCTGGGTAAGAATCCAGGCATTAAGCTGATTGATTCTTACCGAGGCATGTCAGATGCCTACGAAGCAGGCAAGAGGCCTGTTGTCTGCTCTATGAAACGTACGACGGAGCGTAGCGGAACGATGAAGTCTGCCAAAGCTATCACACCCGATTTGCTGAAGCACTGGTGTAAACAATGGGGGTTTTAAGTGATATTCCAAGCATTGAGTATCACAGAAGACCTACTTGGCAGTTATTTGGCAGTTTGATCCGGAGAAGAAGTGAAGAATTTCATAGATAGTTTGATGAATTTTAGCGTACGTACTATAGATAGAATTTTCACTGTTTAGACCTCTTTGGTTACCTCATGAGGGCCATATGAGATGATGGATACCTAGTATATACACCTAGGCATATCGGCGGGTAGTTTGCGGTAGTTACACTCGAATAGATTAGAGTCGCCTACATTTGTGTAGGAGGACAAATATGAAATTGCTCTTAAGTACATAGAAGAATAAAGGCGTGCACATTGAAAAGGGGTTAGTTAGAAGGATTGATGTTGTATTAAAGTTACCATGGGGGACGCACCCACAGGCCACCCCCCCACGGGCCACCCTGTCTCTCACCAAAACACCTTATCTTTAAATATTCATATTTAAATCAATAAAATATGTAAACTTATATAAATAAAACTAATCGAAAGGCCTTTGGAAGCTGAATCAGATGATATATTTATTTATGTATGCGGCCGTTCCAATGGCGAGAAAGTAGGGATTAAAGTGATGTCATGTATAATTTACCTAATATCTCACTAATTCTTAAAATTTTAGCGCTTAAATTAGGGACCTTTCCCCCTAAAACTCTTAGCTAGACCCCTAGGAACCTAATCTCCTTCGATCTTATCATTATAATTATATTTAATGTTTATAAGACTTCGTAATAGAAGCCTCAAGCCGATTGAGTAGTCGTTGTTTTTATCTTGAAGGCGTACGGGTTGTTTTGAGGGTAGGCCACCTTTTGATCCGAGCTCTCGAAGTTCGAGGAAGAGCAATACATACTCAAGCGCATAGCTAGATAACAACGCTACCTATAATAATATAAAATATATCATTAAATAACTAATGATTAGTATATTATAATACTGGAATATCTAACTATAATGATGCTTGTACGTTATATAATAGGTTGAAGTCTTTGCTAGGGTGAAAATCTAGGAAAATCTAAGAAATCGCTTTTAGGTCCATTATTTTGTAACCCCATAACTCCTCTTAAGGTAATCGTATAAATTAAAAAAACACATCACCATATAGCCCGCCTTCGAAACTACGCATATGCAAAACCTTGTTTAAATAAATTTGATATTGATAGATCCTGGTGTAAGTGAAAACAAGGTGTTTTGGTGAGAGATGGGGTGGCCCGTTGGGGGGTGGTCCGTGGGTACGTCCCCCATGGTAGCTAAATTGCTAGTTTGAAACCTAAATTTCGTGGCCAGATTTCATACCCTTAAACTTTCTATATGTGTAATGAATTAACCTGAGATGTATTTAATAATGAAAGAAAGTTAAGTGTTAAAATATTTAATTATATTTATAATTTTATTAAATATTTAATTTAAAATTTCGGTACTGTTGTAAGTTGAATGTTTTTAAATTCAGTGTGCACACATACAAAGCATGATATGGGCATGGGCCATTATTGATAAGAAGGCAACTAAAAAAATAAATTTCGTTAAATCATGAATACATTCATGGGCATATCAAATAAAAAGTTCCTTGGTAAGCACTTTTTGGCTTGGATACCCAGTGTATTGGTTAACGTCTATGATTTTTCATAGGCTAATAATGAATTTATACTACTGGGGTACCTATGTATTGTACCTACCTGGTACTGTAGAATATCGAATGTTTAAGTCAATGGTCAAAATTGGAGTTCTATGCCCTAGGTGTAGGCTACTAGTAGGTAGGTGCAACTGTGGCTAGGGTTCATTTCGTCAAATGTCCGCCCGATTAATAGACGCCAAGTGGGCTGTTTGTGGCTCAGTAGGTATTTTGGCAGTCAAGAGTGGGTGGCTAGTGTGATTTCGCCCCCGATCAGCCTAGGGAACTAGGGAAACTTTACCGTCCACCCTGAAATTTCAACAAGCAAAAAAAATTAAGGAATTTCCAAGTCGTCACCGAAAAAAAAGAAACTCACTTCTCGATACATACCCAACACCTACTTTGCAGAGCAATAAGAAAAAAAACCACTTCATCGATATCGTAACTTACTTAGGTAGCTTTACGAACTTTATACGATTCCTTATTGTTATGCGATCTTGTGGGAGCATTCTATGCAACATATAGATCGTTTGACAACAACTTCTATTACCCGAGCATTCACACCCACATTCACATTTACGTATGCATGAACCCATATGCCTCTAAGCCCCTAAGCCCCTGAGCCCCGAGCCGCCTCGTAACCTTGATATTGTCATTCATCGCGCGTCACAACACTAAACTCGAAGCTAAACAGGAATCCGCTTGAATCCCCTCAACCCCTCCGAGTATCTTGATTCTCACCTAAGCTTTAAACGTCTGCGCACACGCCTACGAACATTGAACTTCGAACATCCTGTTATTGTTACAGGCCATATTTCTTGTAGAAATACTACCAGCCTTTCCACATCCGTGAGAATGCCGTCAAATCTCCCTTCAAGTTTCGCCTCAGCTGCTGCCGGACAGAACCCGAGCCGTGACACAAGACCAGGCGCTAGGAACGATGGTCGAGGGAACGCCAGCGGAGAATGGTAAGGGTGATGTTGCTCTTTTCTCCCCACCTCTCCCCCCTTCCCCTCCCCCGGACCATCATATGTCTTTGGTTAGGATAGGAAGCTGACCGGGTCTTGTCCCTTTTCCCCCTCTTCTAGGTCTCGTCCGGCACGATCTGCTAATGGCGGTACTCTTACGTTCCGCCGGACGTCGACTACTCCTTCGAGTCAATCCCTAAATCAGATGCAAAGTTCCGAAACGCTCCAATCGGCTGCTGCTGACCCTGCCGTCATATCTGCTATGCCGGTCGGCTCCACTAACGTCGAAAGTTCGGGTACTCTGAGATATTCTAGGGATCAGCTACTCTCGATTTTCAGTACGGCCTACGATCCTAGTTCCCAACGACCTGATATATCCACCTTGTTCGCACCTGGGTGGAATCCGGGGCACGCCAATGGCTCCGCGTCTAGGGGATGGGGTAAGACCGGCGACTCCCATGTAGCTCCACAAGAGCCAGATATTTGTTGGGACACTCCGGGGTTGACTAAAGCTGTCGGCCTACAGGAGATGAACGCGGAGGAAAAGGAGGTGAGCCTTGCCCTGTTACCTTGTTATCCCAAGTCCTTGATTGCGGCCGGAGGTGTAGAGTACAATTCTTTTCGGAGCTGACTCTATATTAGTTATTCGCATCTGATGTTAATTCTTCTATAAAGCCGCCAGCTCAGAATAAAGATGGGAATCATCCCGGAGGAGGGGTAAATGGTCGAAAGACTTCACTCTCACATGGAAGCTCCACTAACTTCGGACTCTCTTCACCTTCGGCTTCGTCGAGGCCTGGTACAAGACGGCGTGAAACTACCGACACGAATCCTTATTCCGGCGGTGGCGGCTTGACCTCTCCGGCGTCCGCGACGCGTCCCCCCCGAGACGATTCATCACACTGGTTTGGCCGAAAAAATACGGACGCGAAGGACTTGACCTTTGAGGAGCCTGAAGAGGACACCAATGCACGCGACGCTTCTGCCAAGACTCTGCCTTTCGGTGGATTGATGCGTAACAATACGATCCCAGGCTCTGGGCTCGGCGGTACGTCCCCTTGGCAAACGTCAACGTCAACGTCGGCGTCGGCGGCGACCACGTTACCTGGCATAGGTAGTTTTGGAAATTTCGCCCTACCGGGTTCTACTATCGGGGAGAAGCGGTCTGGAAACCCACGTGGCGAAAGTCGCTTGGCGCATTTGATTCCTAAGGAAAGCTCCGATAGTATCGCGACAAAATCGAATGAAAGCTCCGCGCCAGATTCAAATCGCCTGTGGCGTCCTCGACAACGTACTGACACCGACCCTTTTGGCGAAGACAGTGTCTCGGGCAGCGCTGTGTTAGGAGGTGCTCAAGATACAAGCCCCCCTCCGATGTCTCATCTGTCTCTTCATGCCCCTTACGATACTCCAGTGAAAGGTTCTACGGGAGATTTTGGAATGGCCAGCCTCAACTTGGGTGGCAACATAGAACACGAACAAGCCCCTCTAAGTCCGTCAGAAACGAACCCTTTCCGAAGTCCTCCGGGCGAGCGTGGTGAACATGAGGACATCGGTGATAGGCAGCATGGCTCTATCGGTGTTTCTGATCACGTCTCCGGTTTCAGTGGAGGGGTGCCACGCTCCTTTGCCCATGCGGGATTTGATGGTAGTGATCGCAGCCAGACTTCTAGTGTCGGGGCAAAGGTTTATCCACCTCTAAGCAACCTCACTGGTTGGCCATCCTCGAGTACCCCGGATCGAGAGCGTGCGCCTTTCACTAGCTTTGGCGGTTCCTTATTTGGCACTGTTGGTGACCTTCAGTCCCCTAGTCTAGGGAATCTTGGCGGCGTCTTTGGACCTTCGAGTGCGGGAGGCTTCGGCGGTTCCGGGTCCTTTGGTCGAGCGAGCAAGCTTGGTTCGTTGTTCCCTCCGGCGATGCAGGCGCAGATGCAGTCCCAGGACAATGAAAGTCTGGGCGACTCGATACCGGAGCTTCGTCAACCAAATCCGCTAGGTGCTATCGGCCGTACCGCTCCCGGCGACCATGCTCGGGAAACTGATAGCCCTATGCGAGCAGGCAGAGGAATTTTTTCCGAGATGTTTGCCCAGGCCGAGCCTAGTCGAACTCCGGTGAGCTCTGAACCCTTACATGGTGGCATCTCAAGTGCCCCCCATAGCCAGGCCTTCACGGCAACCAGTACTGCGCCATCGTACCCCGCCGGCCAGACATCTGATCCCCCCTCGGTCCAGTCCCGCACTATGGTCATGCCCGACCGGATGAGATGGGTGTATCTTGATCCTCAAGGTCATCAGCAGGGTCCGTTCACCGGGCTGGAAATGAATGATTGGTACAAGGCCAATTTCTTCACTCCAGATTTACGAGTTAAGAAATTAGAGGACTCGGAATTCGAGCCGTTAGGGCAACTGATAAGGCGCATTGGTAACTCTCGTGAGCCCTTCCTAGTTCCTCAGATCGGCATACCTCATGGCCCACCATCGCAAACCGGCCCGTTCTCGAATTCGGGAGGCGTGATCCAGCCACCACTCGTCAATGCATTCCCCAGTTTTGGTAGGACCTTGACAGCGGAAGAGCAGAATAATCTCGAGAGAAGAAAACAAGAAGAGCAGTATCTGATGGCCCGTCACCGCGAATTCTATGCTACCCAGCAATCTATGGCTAGGGTTCCCATTCCTAGTGTTCCGGGATTGCACCATCATTCCAGCGCCCACAGTCTGCAGAGCCAGCCAAGTTTCGGTAGTATTACGTCTCCTATCACGATGCCCCCGCAACCTCCCATCGGCGCCATCGGAACTGCGGGTTCTTTTTTCGACACGCCAGCTACACATCAAGCCGCGGTACAAGGTAGTTCTGGACAAGGGTTAGACATGTTTAGAGAGGATGAACTTGCTCGTCTATCAGGGCCAGAACGCCAGATGTTAGCTGGCCTCCACAGTACCGGGGCGGTAGGCGGCAACCTCCCCCCGCAGCCTATTGGGGCTCCCACTTCAGAAGCAGGCGTGCGAAGCCAGCTCCCAGGTTCTAGCGAGCTGGTTGAAGACACTGAAGGGTTTCGAGGAAGGTTGCAAGAATTCGAAAAGCTTAGGGCGCAGCATGATGCCGAAATGATGGAGCGACAAGTCTCACCTCTTCGCGATGTCAGTAATGAGCAAATGTCTAAGTTAAGCCCACCTGTTCAAAATGCTGAACCCGGGTTTTCTAAACAATCTCCCGACGCGGATACTACTCACCGTCAGGCCGAAGCAGACCAGTCGGTTTCTTTGACTAAGCAGTATCAGCAGGCGCAAGCCGCTGCAGCCGCTGCAAAGGTTACCGGGCTACCAATGCCTTTCCCACCACCCCCGTCTGCTACTCCTTTGCCGGCTCCCGCTCCTCAGCGGGTTAAGTCTAATCTACCCGAACAATATGCTACAAGCTCCCGATCCGGTACGCCTGATATCACACCGTCATCTGCAACAGCTCAGCCGCCGCCTCTCGCGCCGTGGGCTAAAGAGGTTGGCATGGAGTCGCACAAGGGCCCTAGCCTCAAGGAGATCCAGCAGGCAGAGGCTCTAAAGGCCGCCAAGGCCGAGGAAGCTGCAGCACTTGCCCGCCGTGTTATGCTTGAGCAGGAAGCAGTACGAGAACGTGAAAAGGCCGCTGCCGCTGCTCCGGGTCTCCCTACAACTAGCACGTGGGGAACCGCATCTCCCGTCAATCCCGGGACGAGCAGTAGTCCTTGGGCGAAGCCAGCCCCAGGGAAGGTACCCGTATCTGGACCAGTGGTCCAGACACAAGTCTCGGATAAAAAGAAGACACTAGCCGATATCCAACGCGAAGAAGAGGCTCGCAAGCAGAAAGCGAAGGACGCGGCCGTACAAGCTGGACTCGCAGCTAGCGCTGGAAAGCGTTATGCTGATCTCGCTAGCAAGCCCAATTCGGTTCCTGCACCTAGTCAAACACCCACAGCCAATACGTCAGGGTGGGCTACCGTCGGAGCTGGCGGTAAGGTTAAACCACCGACCGGTCCTGCTTCCCAAGCGCGGCCTTCGAGCGCGGCGAAGCCAACGCCTGCTGTAGCGGCTCCTCCACCACGACCGGCCGTCGCCAAACCCGCAAACCCGATAGTCGGCGCCACCCACACAGAAGCTATGGATGAGTTCAATAAATGGCTCCATGTTCAGTTGGCTAAAGGAATAACGGGTGTTACGGACAGTAAGTTGAGAATTAGTCAGGCGGCTATCACATATACAAGGACGACTACTAACGGCGATATTCAAACAGTTGAGGCCTTTGCCAACACGCTCATAGGGTTCCCTCTAGTGGGCGATCTTATATCGGATGCGATATACGCTAACTCTAAAACGATGGATGGACGTCATTTTGCGGAGGAGTTCATCCGTCGCAAGAAGCTAGCCGACCGAGGTGTAGTTGAGAAGCAGCCTGCAAAGAGCCCCTCGGTGGACACACAGTCTAGCACGGCTGGAGGTTGGAACGAGGTGGCTAAGAAGAGCAGCCACAAGGAGCCTGGTAGCGATACCAACTCGATGCAGGGTGCCGGCTTCAAGGTAGTTCCTGGGCGCAAGAAGGGAAAGAAATGATGGATTCTAAATGTTGAATCTAATGGCTGACGAGCTCAAGCATATGAGTGTCAGGGGTTATGGGCTCTGATGAGATGTAATGAAAATCCATGTGTAAAGGAGTTGTTCATGTATAGTAGCAAGGATCGGCCCCTTCCACGATGGAGTGCGCAGACGATAATTGATGTAAAGATGAATGATAAGAATTGCTTCTACGTTTAGGAGCTATATACGTTTGTGCTCAAATTCCTTAATACGATCATTTCTTGAGCTTGAGCGTGGTGTATAGACCTCAACTTCGCCGGGAGGTAAGTGCCTAATTTGCATAGATCTTTCGTTTTACGGCATTACCTAGTGGTATCCATACCTACTGTAACTAGTTCCTAGTACATACTTCGTAGGCACTGTACCTAAGAACCCAGGACCTGATAATCATTGTGCACGGACCATGTATAGTACCTACCTAGTAAGATGGGGATATGACCTAGGCTGCTAGGTTTTTAGTGTGGAGAAAAAAACGAGATGGCCCCTCCCCCTCGGTGGAAAAGACATCCATTATCGATGAATCTATTCAAGTATTGAATTTGTTCAAGGATATGGGCATTGAATGATATGAATAAATCCATTATATACTAGGTATTCATCGATCTACATTTTCTTATTCAAAAAACGCCTAAGTTATCATACGTATTTACGAGGTACATAAGTTCTCCAGGTTATCCGTACCTAATGCCCGTATTCCATGCGGATCAACCAAACAATTCCTTTTTTAGTTGTGTGCCTTAGACTTACTTTTCCAAGACCCTAAAGCATTAAAAAGCAATATATACCAAATACAACAATATGGCGGATGACGAGTTTTCGCCCGCGAAACTTGGCTCTATCGAGAAGACCTTTGCCGGTTCGTCTTTCCTCGAGGCATTTCATGAAGAGTCATCTGGACGCATAATATCCCAATTTGTCCGGCATATGATAATAGATCAACCTGGGATCGACACACGAATAGAGGGCGGCCCCTACAATATCGCACAGACAGTTCGATTAGGCCTGGCTTCATTATACGCCTTCCTGCAAGCGAATGTTACGGGTCCAGTTCTCGAAAGGTCTAGCGCAGTTGAAGCTATTTTCCTTTCAAGTTTTGCGGAGACAAAGTCTCCAAACGACCAGACGAACGGCAGCGTCGAGGCGCCCATATTATCTTTTAGGAGAATTTGCCTCAGGTCTCTCGACGTGGACGGGGTTTCTCCGTATCCCTATATACCTCATATCGAGTTATTCTGCTTATCTCGCTTTATATTCACATCTGGTGTTATATTGCCCATCGAGTTACCTGAAGTCTGGTCTGACCCACGACAATCTCTTTCACTTCATTTATCCTGGACTCGTCTAAGGATTCACCTCTGGCACTATAAGCTCATCTCTCAGCCATCATTAGGCCCTGGATCATTATTCACCAAAAGTGGTCGTTGGACAGATGTACCAACCCTCCAGGAACGCATAGAAAATAGTCTCATAGAGGCCGAATCTTCTATCATCGGTCCAACCGAAATAGATGAAGACTCAGAGAAATCACAATGGCCTCAGGAATCTCGTGTGCAGTTCCGTTTGGAGGAGGCGGCTTGTCATTTAATGCTTGGGAACGATACAAACGCCCGGAAGGCATTGCAGTCGGCTACGGATATCAGTGGCTTTTCCTACGCACTCTCTGGTGCCCTGGGGAAACGGACAAGATTTCAGGAGAAGAACACTAGTCAGCTCATCGTGCTTGCTAAGAGCCATGCACGATCTCACACGGCATCCGACCAGCGCTTCGACGTAGCGCCCGTTGCACTTCCGCTAAATGACGATACATTATTAGAGAATATCCAGTTCGATAATGGTCAGGCCGATAAATCAGCTTCGGATCTTCCAGCTGAATTGCGAGATATCAATCCGGATGGCCAACCGCAACTTTGTCCAGAAGATCATATCATACTCCTGACTGAAGCTACAATGAGAGATACTTTCTCTCCCGCCGACTCATTGACTTCCGAAGAAATCTTACCCTTTGCTCAACGAGTGATCGATGATAAGTCGACTAACTGGCAAACATATACCCAAGCGCTACTGGTACGATCGCGGATTGAACTCAACAGAAGTCGCACGATCGAACGTGCCGTCTTACAGATGCAAGCGCTTGTAGACCAGGTTATCGTCGAGACGCAAGAGTCTGAAGGTTTGGCGAACAAGCCTCATGGTGATAGCAATAGCACAGCGACTGAATATAGTATTCCAATCATCCAAGTCACCGCTGAACACCAACCAGGCCAGTCGGCTGACGTTCAAAAACCAACCTCATTCCTCCCAGCTCCCAAAACCTCCGAGTCAGCATCCCCACAAGAGAGGCTGCGGTATGTAAACTCTTTATCCTCCCCTCCTCGTTGGCATCTAGAGTCGGAGCTCGCTTATGCTTGGACTTCTGTTGGATCTCTTGTTTCGGCTTTGGAAATCTTTAAACGGTTACGCCTTTGGGCGGAAGTCGCGTTATGCTTAGCAAGCAGCGCATCTACCGATGACCCAGACGGTCGAGGAAGCGGGGGCGAGGAAAAGGCTCGGGCCGTCGTACGGTGGCGATTATTCCACCGCACCTACTATGTTGACGCTGACGCCAAATCAAAGGGCAATATTGACCTAGATGACGCTGAAGTTGATATCTCGTCTCTCAAAGCGGCCGACTTCTATGGTCCGGAACGCTCACCCCCACCCCCTAATTCTTCCAGATTGTTTTGTATACTGGGTGATATCGAAAACGACCCTCAACATTACCACCGTGCGTGGGAGATCTCCAACCGACGTTTTGCGAGGGCGCAGAGATCTCTGGGCGAGCTTCACCTTCAAAAGCAAGAATGGAAGGAAGCTCGAGAAGCATACCTCCTCGCCGTTGGCGTTAATAGGTTAAGCCCGGAGATGTGGAATAGACTCGGCGACATCGAGCTGCGCCTCGGAAATTTTCCCGATGCAGCTGAGGCGTTTCAGAGGGCTATATCAACGGCGAACAATACTTCCGGGGGCGAGGATGCGAGGACCTGGAGCAACCTTGGAACGGCACTTTTAAGCTGGTACCGCCAGATCATCTCGGAGAAAAATGGCCGCCAAGAAAAGCTCGGTAAGAGTGGCTCTGACGTCTTAGACGATATGGTGAGCACAAAGCGGGCAGCTGAACTTGGAAAGTCTGGCCACAAATTACTACAGGACTCCTTAATCGCCTTCAAGCGTGGCGCTACGCTTGCAGATTCGAACTGGCGGATCTGGGATAATGTCATTACCCTAGCAGCTAGCCTATCTCCGGATCCTGATCTAGACGATGTGGTGCTTGGTGTGAGAAATGTGATCCGTATCCGCAAGACAGAAGAGACATTAGACATCGACATCCTTACCCTCCTAGTCAGAGAGGCGACTAAAACGCCAATACCTAGCAGCAATGAAGGTGAACCGAAGATCTACGATCCCAGAAGAGGCACTATTGAAAGCAAAATTGTGGCCCTTTTCGAGAAAGACATTATACCTCTCATCACGACGAATTCGGCGTGCTGGGCTTTGGTCTCCCGTCTTCGTGCATGGCGAAGGGACTGGGTAGGTGCGTTGGATGCGGCCGAGAAGGCATGGAGGACGGCCGTTGGTGGTGTTGGTAGTGCGCTTTCTGCATCCAGTGGAACACAAGGCCAGCAGGGAAGCTGGTTGACAAATGCGGATGCGTGGGAAGCTGTAGTGCAGAGGACATCGGAGTTGGTGGCAGCGTACGAAAATTACGGATCACGGGTGGATAACATTGGTAACAAATGGAAAGGCAAAGCGAGGAGTGCCGTGAGGAGCATCATGGGAAAGGCCAAAGAGTCTTGGGAGGATGATCATAGGTGGCAGACCTTGACGGATATGATGGATGATTTGAAAATGTAGAGTATAAAGAATGAGAGTTCAGCTGTCTCTCTTTGAAACAGTGGCGAGCGCACGGATTCTGCCTACCTACCTACCTTCCTAGTACCTACTAGGTAGGTAGATATAGAGAAAATAGGGATCTGAGAAGGCCACCTTTCTGATCTATACTGGGTACATGCCTAGGTAGGTAGTAGGTAGGTAATGATCAAGCCACCCAAGTGAAAATCACGTTCACGATGTTTTTATTACAAGAGTCATACGTTGATTTGTATCAAATCTGATCTGGGTATAATGGTAAAGGTATAAATTATGATTACCTAGGTAGGTCCCTGACGATATCTACCAGGCAAAAGTCGGTAAATAAAATAAACAAGCCATCCCCTAAGACGCCTTTCCTCCATCTACCTAGGTAGGCAAGCATGATGATAATCAGTGTCCCGTGTCCTGTGTCCCTGTCCTGTGTACCATGTCCACTCTATTACCCTTCTCCAATAACCATTTTACGTATTTGCGCCATGAACTTGATTCCTAGCATCCAGTGATAACATATCCGAGCCCATTCCATCTAAATACCGATATTCCATGCCTGTTTCCCTAGATACACCACTCCGAAGTAAAAATCCGGCAAACAATGCATTTCTGGTTTCAAGATATTGGTCTAGCAAGGCAAGAAGAGGAAGGATAGAGCTAACGTTACAAGAATGTTATGATAGAAACAGGGTATAAAACGCTCTAACAAAGAGGAAAAAGAAAACCCAACCCGATCGACCTTGATAAGAAACCGTGCCGCGGCTCCTTAGTCTCCCCCCCTTACCCATACTCCTCCGTTATGGCCATGCCCGTTCGAAACTACCTGGTGCCTACCTACATGACGCTGTAAACTCCTCATATTCCAACCAGGTACCCCTACATAAACCAAGAAGACACCATCAAAGCGGCCCAGTTGGGAAATGGGAAAGATAAACTATTACAACAATATGACAGAAAAGGAAAGTAAAAGCGAAAGGCAATTCGTGGTAGAAATGAGTATAGAAATGTGTCCGAGCCCCTATGCAGAAATATGCAGAAACCTGCAATCAAAATTAGGGGAAGGGGATTTGCATGCTGTCAACTGTGGGCCATGCGCAAAAAGGGTCGCTGGATTCAAGGAAGCTGAAAGTAAGGTAACATCCCGTAAGCGCATAAGCGAAAAGAGCCGAAACCAAGATTCATGACATCGATTCCATTTCCCAGAAAATGGAATTAGATGTAGAGAGACGCCAGGGATCTAACAAAATCTAAAGTCCCAGTTCGCCGAGGAAAACAAGAGACATGGCGACCAGGAGTGTATTGTGCGTGCCCAATCCGGGCCCCTGAATTATTCTAATATCTAACGAGGACGAGGTTGGCAGAGGTGGAAGTACGTGGTCGTTGAATCGGAAATATCGATGCGTTGCTTTGCGATATGGGAATAGATGCACATGTCATGCTCTCGTGTATAGCGACTATTTCCTCGTAAACGACTATTGATTAGGTTACCTGGACTCGTAGGTAGGTAGGTAAACACGTGGGTATCACTAGGCGTTCATATTCGGTGAGGACTGGGGCTATGAGTGGCCGGACGGATATCATATTCTGCTCAACCAGACCGCAAGGGGTATTGGACATAATTCATCTCCCCCGCCGCGCCCAGCGTGTATAGGTCGTATAAGTTGCCTCCAGGGTCTGCTGATAGAGTTATGTGTATAGGTATAGGCAGATTATGCATTATGTGTGGATCATCTGCGCAGGCGATATAGGCTCTAGCGGTAACAAGAGGCATGCGGCTGTGGTGAAACGGTCGAAGTCGTTATGGTGCATAAGGGTAAAATGGAATTGGTAATTCAAGATTGATCAAGCTTCGAGGCGTTGAAGAGGTGGGCTCCCGATGACGACCAGGGAAAATGAAGAGGGTTACCCAGTGAGGAAGTAAGGAACGGCGTGACGCAGATGGCATGCATCATGCAGCGGCAGCGGCGCGCACCCGATAGACATACATCTAAGGCTCGCACACCATCCATGTTGCCCACATGGATGCATCTGCTAGTCGACAAGCTCGTGACCAATCAGTCACCGGAGACTAGCGATGCAAAGTCGATCATGGCCGCCTGGGTAGGGTCCTCCCGGGACCAGGAAAGAAAAGATAAGACGGTCGTGATAATAGACAAAATGATTTTAAAACTGCCTGATGATGGAGGGACAGGGAAGCCGGCACTTGAGGGATGGGTTAGCTAACTGGTACCGCAGAGGAATTCATTACGGGTAGGGCGGTTCTGAAGGCCGAGCGAGCCTTGTATATGCGCAGTATATGCGTAGGTCAGGATGCCGGAGAATAAAATCAAGGCAGGTCGTTTGTGTCGTGCGATCAAAATGGAGTCCCGGGAGAAATGGTGATTGGTTGAAGCGACAACAGCTGACCTTGGCCAGACTCCCCCCTTTTCCCCCCACACACACATAACATATACACACCACCTAAACACTTGAGCTTTCTCTCTCTCTTGCCCCCCAAAAACCAGCATCCATCAACTTGGCATATGCCCTTATTACGAATAACCCTCCTTTTTCCCTATTAGAGATCTGGAAATCTTGGAGTCTATGTAGGAGCATAGCATGATCCCCATCACAAACCAAGCACCAGACATCCAAAAATAATAATAATAATCTTGACACTCCATACATAGTACAGTATGCGGTTCAGATTTCTGTCCAACCCTTCCCGCTTCACACCCATACGTTGTGCCGTAAGAATCCGTAAGGAGAAGATAGAAAGGCCGGGGTATAAACGGTATCGTATGAGGATATGCGGTACGGATGCTCAAGTTGGATCCCGCGCGCTTTGGGCATCTGTTTAGCTTCTCTGTACCGTTGAAATTGTATGGCTCATTATGCAACCCTCGTCATCCCGCGACACATGCCTTCTGAATTGTTCCCACCCATTTCCATCCCTAAGAAAGACCTCCAGTCATGTTGCTATTCCCGATGACTGACATCACCGTACGTGCCTGCGCCGTACACATGACTTTGGTGCTGGTGGCTCGTCGTGTAGGCGGGAGTGGAGGCATCGCCGTAGCCGTTGGAGACGGCGGTGGTATCCCAACGCTGCGCTAGTCCGTAGCTTGGCGGCGCCGGTAGGTGTTGTTGCGGCCTCGTATCTGCGTGCCTATACGTAGGGGGCAAACTAGTGATCTGTATGCCTTGTGGGGAATGGGACTTAATCCCGGGCGAGATCGTGCGGCCGGGATAGGTCGCCCATGCGGACGGGCCACCGGTGAGAGATCGTGGCGATGGCATCGAATGCGAGTCATGGTGAGAGTAGCTGTTGTCAGATACCGTCGGCGTGTGGGGCGGTCCATAGAGACCAGGGCTCGTGCTGCTGACGGGAGTGAGCAGGGTCGGTCCCGGCCCAGAGGGTAACGTCGACGACGGAGAAGCGGACTAGTTAGAGTTTTCGGGTTAGCCAATCTGTCAGTCTGTATTTGGAAGGGATGCGAGGATGTGAGGATGTGAGGATGCGAGGATTCGAGCACGTAAGGCAGGATGAGATTTGGAATGGGCACGGCTCCCGCACGTCAAAAAAAGAAAAAACCCCCAAAAAACCCATGAACCATGACGAATATACCGCTCGAAAATCTATATGTGAAACAGATTGGGGAAAACAAGATGGGGCTTAAGGAGATTAGATGCAGATTAGATGCAGGAAGATGCATCAGAGTCAAAACTCACGTATTTGGAGATGATTTTCTTAAGCGCCGAGCCTAGAATTTTCCAGGGGAAGACCTTGACATCTTTCTCGATATTGCGTGGTTTGGGGGCCGGAAAGCCCATTATGACCTTGAAGAATTCCTCGCTATCGGCTTTCGCCTTGCTAACTGTCAGGGGGCGGAACCCCTCGAGATTGCGGCGGATCCGGTTCTTCTCCTCCACCGTGAACCTCCCCGGCGCGGCAACGAGCTGCTCCAGCAGGGATATGGTATCGACGCTCGTAACGTAGCATTCCTCTTTTTCGGCCCAGTAGATGCAGCTGATGCAGATGCTGTTTGGCGGTCTCTCGTTGGCCGCAACAGGCTTAAACGACGTGGTAAGGGTCGAGCCTCGTTGCTTCTTGCTGAACATCACTATCCGCCTCCGGTTTTCCCACTCCTCCTGGGTCCACCCAGATGCCATCGATTCGAGATCTCCATTTATCTCTAATATCGCCTTAGTGGAGTACAGGGCGTAAGGATTTAACTGTCCTCCACCAGATGACCCGGAGGCCTGTAAGGTGCTAGTACGAATCAGCTGCGGCGCGCTGGAAGTCGGAACGGGTAAAGTCGTGATGCTGCTAGGTCGAGAGATAGTTGTGTGATTTATGGCAGGGCTTCGACCCGAGAGAGAATGTGCATATTGACTCCACGAGGGAGTCTTTAGGGGCGGGGGTGGTGGTGGACGAGGATAGTCGAGCGCGTAAGACGAGCGGTGGTAAGTCCCTATCATACTGTCGTTGTTGGTATAACCGGTATCATAGTTGGATGTAACGGCTTGCTGTGTGGTGGGAGCGTAGCCGTATGTATTTGTAGCTGTATCGGTTGCCAGCTGCTCCTGGTCTTGTTGTTTTGTAGGGCTCTCCCTCTGCTCAGGTGACCTGGACCCCCCCTTGGCCCGCGTGACGCTCTCAGGCGGGCCATCTGCAGTCCCGGCTGGAGTGTTATGATAAGTGAACGTGCCTGCGTCTATAGTTGCCAAAGTCTGCCCTGTCGCACTCTCGATCAGGAGTGATAAAGGCACGTTGGCGCTTGGACTCCGCGTGTCTTCAAACTGCGGTGCGTCTCCGCTGACAGCATAACCAAATCCGCTTGCATCCCCCGTGTCCCTAATAGCGTGTGCCGGGCTCTTGTGGGATCCAAATGCTAAGAAGAAGTGGCTCGTGATGGTGATCAGATCGTATGGGGCCGTTATTTTGATTAATACCTTAGTCCCAATCATGCCCGCCGTCGGTTGATACGAAATCAGCGTGGCCACGATCGGTGCCATGTACTGGCCTGCCGTGCCGTTTGCCGCGAAGGCCATCTGATTGAGCTGCGCGGCAGCATTTTCAGACTGCTGAGCCGCGAATTGCTGAGCCGAGTACTGATACTGGGGATCTTGGTAGGATCTTGGTGAATCAAACGCTGAAGGACCAGGATCAAGTTAGCTCGCAGATCCCTACGTTTCATAACCGATGCTATCACTACCCCGGGCCAGATACTACTAGGTACGGATATGACCACGATATCGTGCCGACTTATAGATCTAGATCTCGACCGAGAGACAACCGCACGGAGAACTCACCATGCATCTGGGGCGGTTGAGGTTTTGAATATGCGGGCATAGATAGGAGACCAGGCGGGGAATCCCCACGAAGGTCTCCTCCGTTCGCTCTGGCAGCTGCCTCTTCCTCGTACCGAAGGATCACCGTCTCAGGAGACTCGAGCGCGTCAGCGTCGACTATGATTGGCCTCTGATGATATTGAGGCTATCGTTCCTGTCCGTTAGCGATTTCTCCCCGAAACCGAACTGCCAAGTTTCTCAGCAGGAGTTTGCCTTCGCCTTGACTCACCTCGAACAGCTTATAGGTCGGATACTCAAACTTGACAGCAGACATCAAGTTGTCTATTTCTAGAAAGTCTAGAATATGGCGAAAGACCTGTTCCAAATGGAACGAACAAACACCTGTTTCGGGAGCAGTGTTGCAGAAACTTGAGGGTCCCTACGCGTTGAGACTCTACAGCCTTTCTACCCTTGGATCCCTTATGGGAAACGGCTTCCCGGTTGCTAATAGAGTGTTATTGGATTCCTCTTCGCGATCCGCCTGTCTTATTTGCTGCCGAGTCCTTGGGAAGATTTGATAGCCTCCGTTGGAAATACTAGTGAAACAAACATTCAAGGTTCTGCGGGATGGAGGAGGAGTGGCGGTTGCTGAAAAGGCAGAAACAGACCACTCTGAGAGCTGACTACTTTTGAATCTCAAGAGACCAGAACCGCAGGATGCTCCAGCGGCTTGTTCGTGGGGGGATTAATATGAAAACACCTTCTTTCTTCCTTCCGAACAGGTCTGAGAATCTTTGACAGCGTTAGTTCGTGGAAGTAGATAGGAGCTCAGCGGCGTTCATTGGCTGAAACAGGTTGTTGGCAAACTGATTCTGAGTCGAGTCTCGGAAAGTGGAAGTATCCAAAACTTTTCCCCGCCCCAAAAAGAGGATACTCAACTCCTTGAATATCCTGTTCGTCTGGTTGGGTTGTTAGTTATTTATACTATATCGTTGGTAGTTAGCTAAGAGAAATAGCGGCGGAGGTCAAACCCGAAGACCCCGTCGTCATACAAGCTAAAGTACTAGGTATGGAAGACCGTATCGGACGGCTTCAAAGTGGGAATGGCGATAGTTGTTGACATGGCGCGGCTAAACGACAAAGGGTTATGACTTACGAACTGCACCCAAAATTCGATTGAGTGTGGAGACGAGTTTCTTCGTATGCAGCCTGCCCGAACGTGTTCGCATGAAGGTGAGTTGGGAGAGCTACAATCAGAAGTACGCAGCTATCCGGGAAGTTCGCGTGTCCCGCGTGGTTCGTGTCGTAACTTGAACCAAAAGACACCAAGTGCCAACAACGAACTGGTAAACGGGCTAAAGAACTGCAAATTGTCGGAGAACCTGTCAGCAAACGAACTGGGACTCAGAAGGAGGGTCTCTCAAATATGTGTGTGTGAGACGTTGATCCTCAAACTAGGACAAGATGGAGAGAAGTTCTTCGAAGGGATCAAGAACTGATAAAGAGACGAAAAGAATAAGGTGCGAGACACATTTCTTGTCGGATCGCCGTTGTGAAGTATTGGGGCTTTAGTTAAGATTCCTGTGTTGTGGCCGGTCGAGACCATTGCATTACACAGGCGTATAGTACTATCGATGTACCTTTTTTTGCTTGGTTGCGCATCTCAGGCCTCCCCCTGCTTTACTTTTATTGCTAAATATTTTTTTTATCTTTCTTTTCTTAGCTCGTGTAATATTTTCAACCTTTCTCGAAATGGGTCGGATAGGCGGCCGCAGACTTCTAGTGCCTTTTGCTACATATAGGTAGGTAGGTATTTTCCCTCTCAAGGGTATACGAATTTCTATAAACTGTAGAATTCTGACTGCGGGTGATGCTGAGTCGGACGGTTGCTTGGGTAGGTATGCAACGATGATGATGCCGACCCTAATGATAGCCTAGAGAGAGAGGGTGGAGGAGTCAAGGCTAACAGGGATGCCGGCCGTTGAAATGCGAGATTCCCAATGTCTTAAAAGCTGCAAATCATGCAAGGGTCTGTGGTTGGGGGGTGAGAGACGACAACTTGGGGTTGTGCCCCAGAGTCAAGACAGGTAGGTAGAGGACGGGTGACTATCCCCCACATTATTCCAAAGGGATAGCTTCTAAGTAGGCAGGTAGGCGGATAGACAAGGTAGATAGGTAGACCATCAGGAGTACGGTCCCTATGGTGGCTCCTAGTATGACGGGTATGGGAGGGGGGAAATAAAAAAAATAATGGAAAAAGCATAGGGCGAGTGGAGGGCGCAGGACGAAAAGAGCAAGGAGCGGGAATGACAAGACAAGGATGAGTAGACATACATACTATACACATACTATACATACTAGGTATACATACTATACATTTTATGCGCACAACTGGAAGGGGGTGTAAGTGTAGGTAAGTATAAGTGGAAAAGATGGCGCAACTTCCATCGCTCGGCGTAGTAAACTGCACCACGTTGTATAAGCTAGACTAGGACTTACGCAGTTGACAGGACTAGCCAAGCAGATAAGTTTCGAAACGCTCTGTCGTTAACTGAGGCGAGATGACTATGATAAACAAGTACAGAAGTACCTAGGTAGGTAAGTACTATGTAGGGGTGATGATATACGGATGAATACCTAGGTAATGTCTACCTGCATAGGTGCCTACCTAGATTCTAGGACCTGGATAGATAGTATAAGCACCAAAAGCAGCATAGGTAGGTACCTAATTAGCCAGGTACCTGAAAACAAAGCTGGCATTGCACTTGTAAAGTAGTGGTAGCAATAGTAGAAGAGATAGTATTCGGCATAACGGCGACGTTATTGGATAACGGCGTGAAAAATAACATAAGTTCCTTTGCGATGTGCTTTTTTTTTTACCCTCTTTTCCCGTCCCAAATCGAGTCTAAGGTTTAAAGATGGGGACGCGTGTGTTAATCGTGCGTAGATCGATGAGCAGGGGAGAGTGGTGAGATTACCGGAAAGAGGTGAGTAGCCAGGAATATGATTGGTTAGCCGATTTATTCCTGTTAGCTTATGCAGCTATTGGACGATCTCCGCAGGCCAATGGAGCTGTGGGCAGCCATCTCTAAAGATCTCTAACCTGGTTCGGATGGGTGGGATGACCTAGGAGTTCGCAGCGAAGGGTTGCTACTCCATATCCTCGTGAACTAATACTCTGACAGTCATCGTCGTCGCCGTTCCCAAGCACTCCCAGATAGGGTACATCCCCAACTAGTATGTGTGCCACTCGGCGACATTTGCTCATTTCGTAGTGGCAAATTCTAAAATAGAAGGGGGAGAGATGATAGACGGCATCAGCCGCGCCTAGTGGAACGCCAACCCTTACTTTTAGAGGACGATTACCAGGGGGGCGTGTACATGGGTACGTGAAAGACAAGTTGAGGAACTTTCCCTCCATCTTGGCAGCATCTTTATTTTTTTTCTTCCTCGGGTAATCGGTCTTCAGACCGACGATTTTGAGATGAAAAAAAAATACCTACCTACTTACGTATGAGTAGAAGATTTCTGACGCTGACGACTTAACGATACTCTTCAGAATATTCGGTCTTTTCCACCATGTGTAGGAATGCTTAGCGATAAATCCCTAGTCCGCGGAAAAATAGTTATCTAGAAGAGAAGGGGGTAAAAAAAAAAAAAAAAAGCAACATGCCAAGGCAAGGTGAGCAGGACGTTACAGAAGGGGGCTAGCATATGGCAATAGTAAAAATGTTAAACTGACATGTCATGAGAAGATAAAACTTTTACTTGGAGCTTTTTGGAATGATCACCTAGTAGTGATATTACCTATCTTCCAGCTGCTGCTAGCATTAAATCGGACAGCCAGCTTTGGTGTGTCATTCGGACTTCGCAATTTCACACTCGATCTTCTCTGGACTATGAGAGGAATATTAATGATAAACATCAAGTCCATTAGGTATATAAAAAGACCAAGTCATGGTATCTACCTGCTTAGTAGGCTACTAGACACTATATATATATAGGTATATATACCATACCTACCTACCTATCTAATAAGGAATTTATGAACAAGCCCATAATCGATGGCCGGTGTGGCATAAGAACGAGACTGGAGAAACAGACAGTGCAAAGCTGACGATGCCCATTTAGTCTGGAATCAATAGCAACACATCGTGCTCGGAGACGTCGACTATAATCGATGAATGTCGTATATCGAGAGTCAGCATACGGTTTCGTTAAGTCCGACTCATGCAACATCATTCGTTGGGTAGTAGATCGCTGAGGTGTCACAGCGTAGGAGGCGTCAGTCTTAACTAAGTCGTTCATCGAGCCTGGCGCCCCCATTCAAGAAGTTCCAATAAAGATAGTTATCTCAACTATACCTAGGTATCGAACTCGTCCCTTGCTATTTTTTGTCTACTGCTTCTAACACTTATGCACTGAAAAAACAACCCTTTGTATGAAGGTCACCCCCCACGTTTGTCCACATCGAACTACAGTCTATGTAGGTGCATATATTAACCCATATAAACGGTATCACTCCTTTTTCCGACGCGCATATGTAAAATTCGAGTGAGAAATATGTAGCACCGCTTCGAAAACTCTCATCGTATGTACCTAGGTAGGAAGGAAAACTACCTGTTCATATAAAGAATCTACTAGTTGCATAATACTTCTTACCTATATGTACCCTCGTAAGATGATCGCCCTTGGCGGTGGGGAGACCCTGTCGCAGGGATTTTAATGACGGTGCGGCCAGGCGGCGTATCTACAGTGATGTAGGATGCGGTCATACGGTAAATAGCTTTTATGCAGGATACATCTAACATGTCTACCACATATACCTACCACATACCTAGTATACCTACCTGATGACTACAGTACGAGAGACGTCTAGGTCGTATCAAGCTTTCTCTGTATCTGGGCGTGTTAAGTATGACCACATTCGTGTGCTACGGTAACTTGTAAGTTACAGGTTGTTGATTATAGGAGTC